GCCGAGGCTCTGCACGAAATCGGAGTAGTCCTTAGACTTGCCCTCGTTCTTGAGGATTTCGTGCTGGTGGATCTGGCCCTCCCGCACGTAGATCAAGCCCACCTTGGCCACCTCTCGCCTGTAACGATTCATCGTCATTCGCTGCACGCGACACAACACACACGCAACACGCGCGCGCATGTCGTAGGCACGTGTTGCGAGTCGAGGTTGAGGGAGCGTACGCGTTGACTTTGTCGAGTTCCTTGAGACTGCGCTGCATGCGCTTGTTGTTCTCCAGGAAACTGAACTTCAAGCGGTTCTCATCGGTCAGGAAGCCCATGTGACTGTTCGTAACCGTCCACATCACCCAGTCAGCACTGTGCCACACACACGACACGCACGACACGCACGACACACTTGTTGTGTACTGACCTGAGGAGAAGGCGGGTGTGGTGGTATTTGGTGGCGGTGACGGGGCGCGTGGGGATAGAGGGCAGGGCGGTGCTGACGTCGGTGGGCGAGGACAGGAGTTGTTCGAGCTGCTCCCGCTGCTCGGCCACCGCCACCATCATCGCCTCCACATCCGCCGCATACTCCGGGTTGGGCACGATCGGCTCGTTGAACTTCATCCTACGTTTTGTTGTCGTTCAGCACCCCCGCGCGTGTCGTGTGTGTGTGTGTGTCGTGCGGTGTGTGCGTGTCGTGCGGTGTATGCGTGTACCTTTGCGAGAAACGCTTGTTGGCATCGGCTTTTCGTGGGCTCGGGGTGACCAGATCGGCCTCGTTGTCGGCAAGGCTGCACGACAGTGGAGTTCGGTGGTGAGCGCAGGTGGGCACACAGGTTTGGCCCCGGCGGTTGTTTTTTTCTCAAACGTACAAGTGGAGCAGTTCGTTGAGGGGGTCGACCTGGAAGCCCTTGCAGGCCCCGAACGACGGAATCTCGTCCTCCGACCGCTTGAAATCACTGCTCGCATCCATCCAATCAGTCATATTATTCTCTATTATATTTGTATTTATGTATTTGTATTTGTATTTGTATTTGTATTATTTATATTTATGTATTTGTATTTGTATTTGTATTTGTATTTGAGTACCTCTTGATGACCACCTCGGCGGCCTTGGCGGGCAGCAGGTTGGGCACGATCGCGACCGGCGGTAGGATGGGCTCCTTGGACTTGAAGAGGTCGTAGCTGAGGTCAAAGTCCCACACGTACTTGCCCGTGCAGTCGCGAACAATCATGCGCACCAGACGCTCTGCAGCAGCCGCAACAGTGTAAGCGCACACAGCGCACACGCACGCACCGCACGCACGCAAGGGTGGAGAGTGTGGTACCGTTGTCGTCAACAAATTCTTCGAAGGAGAAGAGGGCGAGGGAGTTGTAGACGAAGTAGAGGCCGCCGTCGTCTTCCTCCTCCTGCTCCGCCTTCTTGATCACCGCCGAGGAGGACGGACCCAAGATCTCCTCCAAGCTCTCTGCAAGACAACGACATTGACCACACATTGGATTTGTGTGCGTGCAGTGTGCGTGTGCGTGTGCGGTGGTGCGTGGCGTGTGCGTGTGCGTGCGGTGGTGCGTGTGTGCGTTTTACCTCTGGAGATGATTTGCTCGCAGCCGGCGATGGTGGGGAAATTGGCAAAGAAGTTGAGCATCGTGAGGAGGAACACCTCGGCCGACTCCCGCACCAGCTCCGACCCGTGCGCCGGCTGATTCTTGAGCGCCTGTTGGTCCGTCGACGGATATAAATTAATAATAATAACAATAATCATAAAAAGCTCAGATATGTTGTCGACAGACACACTGTGTGACTGCCGTGTGCGGAGCCGTACCTCGAAGATGGCGTCGAGGTTGACCGACTTGGCCTCCGGGTGGACCGATTCCCTGTCGTGGTTGACCTTGCCCTTGTCGCGCTTGAGTGTGGAGCCCTTCGCGGTGATGGTTGAGGCCGCCGGACCCGCAAAGCTAGACGAATGCGAGGCCAGCGCCGCCAGCGGGTTGCCCAGCTGAATCTGTGGAATGCGTGGGCGTTGTATGTGGAATGCATTAGTGGAATGTGAGGCGGCGTGTGTGGAATGTGTTGGTAATGGTGGCAAAGCCAGGGGGGGCGTTCATTACCTCATCGCCGAGGAGACCGAACTCGAGGGCGCGGAAGACCTTGTGGACGACGTTGGCCGGCAGCTCGAGCACCGCCGAGTGGCCGATCGCCATGAGCCCGTCCAGCAGCGTGTAGAAATGCATCGCCGTCGCGCTCTCTATCAATCGAGCCTCGCAGTCAGTCGCAGTCAAGCTCACGAAAGGGCCCCCGCATACGATCATGTTACGTAGTTAGTTATCGAGGAGAAAAGCAATCAGCGAACCTTTTTCCTTGAGCGGCTCGTGAGTGGCCTTGACGGCGCTGATGGCGATGATGATGCCATCGCTCAGCGTCTCGATGATGTACGACACCAGCGCCTAGACACGCGCGCACGCACGCTGATGAGGGACAGACACGGGATGTGTGTGAGAGTGGGGGTTGTTCTGTCGGGGCCAACGTACGGTGTCGACGGCAGCGATTCTCTCGAACATGTCGGAGGTGGCGATGAGGGACGACAGGGATTCGAGCGCGGTGCGCGCGACCAGGTCCTGCAGCGAACAGCAGGCTCCGGCCAACGCCTTAAGGTACTCGGTGAGCCTCTCCTTTCTGCTCACATTCGATTGACGCACGACGCGACGCGTACCAACACTCGCGTCAGTGTGGAACACACACACAATAGGTGGGACGGAGTGTGGAAGCGCACTGCGGGTTGTGGAGAAGGTCGGCGTAGAGGAACACGCCCAGGCCCCACAGCGCAAGCGACTTGTTGGCCGGCGTGATGCTCGGGTAGTTGACCGCCGCCACGAACAGTGACCCGAGCTGCGCGTGCATCTGTGCGTGTGCAAGGCGGGTTGTGTGTGTGTGTGTGTGTGTGTGCGTGTGCGTGTGGGTGGTCAGCATGGCCTTGCCAATCGTCAATAGGGTAAGGTTAGTTTGGAAAAATACCTCGGCGGCAGGCAGGGTGGGCAGGTCGAGGCCCTCGAAGTGGGTCGGGTAGCACAGGAGGGACAGGAGAATGAGGAGCGACTTGTTCTGCACGTCATCCGGCGTCGCGTTCTTTTGGTTCGGGCGCCACTGTAGTCCACCCAACGAGCCACAAGTAAGTCGCGGCGTGTGTTGTGTGTGTGTGTGTGTGTGTGTGTGGCGCGCTAAACTGTGCTACGTACGAGCTTTTCGATCTCGCGCAAAAAGTCGGGAATAAGCACGGCGAGGCCGGGGAGAGGGAGGGAGAACAGCTGTGTACAGTTGCGCACGACCACCCACACCACCGAACTGTGTCCAGACAGACCCTGGAAGACGACCACCACCACCAAGTTAGTTACCGGGTGGCACACACCGCTATTTTTGTTGACACTCAGGACTAGCAGAGAGAGTCGGTGTCCGCCGTACCAGCTGGATGGCGCGATAGAAGTGGGAGATGAGGTCGATGTGCGGGGGCTTGTAGGTCTTGCGGGTGAAAAGTTTACAGAGGGTCGAATACGCCGTGATCCGTCCACGATTGCGCTTCCTGTTGTTGTGGGGCACGCACGCGTTTGTTTAGCGTTGGCCACAGTGACGAGTAGCGTTCATGAAGGCAAGCGAGCAGCAACGAATCGGAGTCGTCAGAGAGAGGCCTGACAGGAAAGAAAAGAAAAGAAAGGGGGGACGCACTCGTCGACAGCCGAGGCTTCGAGGATCCAGGGGAGAAAGATCCGCTGCAGGGGAATGGGCGCCTCGGCGGTGATCTCCAGCCTGTCCTCGGCTTCGCACATGAGGTCGACCACCTTCGCAAACAACAACAACAGCGGCATCAGCAGCAGCACAGGAAAAACGCACGTCAGCTGATGGGGATCACTGCGCTGCGTGCCGGGTTGGGCTGCGAAAAGAAGAATCGTACCTGGCTGACGCAGCTAATAGCGGTGGAAAAATTGGGCGGGTCCTTGATGTCGCACAGATTGCCCAGAATGTCTGTAGACCATCAACACTCCAAGCATCAGCCGCAAGAAATTATTCGCGCATATTTTTCTATTATATATATATTTCTATTCTATATTTATATTATAAGTATTTATAAAATATGACCGTACGCAGGATGATGTCCCACATGGTCTGGATCTTCAGCTGGTTCCACGTCATGGACGTGAGGCGCGCATCCCTCGGCCTGTCATTGTAACCAATGCAAGGAATGTGTGAGGAATGCATGGTGGTGGTGGTGGAGATGTGAGTGTTTGACGAACCGCATGGGGGTGGTGGAGCCGATGCCGGTGGAGGACGAGGAGGTGAGCATGGGCCTGTCGGACTGCCTCTTCTTGTCGTCGCCACCGCCGGTGGTGGCCTCGGGCTCCTTCTCCTTGTTGTCCTCGGACTCCTCGGCGACGTTGCCCTTCTTCTTCTTGGGCTCGGGCACCACGGGCTTGGGGTAGGTGTGCTCGATGAGGATGTAGGTCAGCTGGAGCACCTTCTCCTCCCACTGCGTGAGCGTGGCCTTCCAGTTGACCAGCGTCGCCAGCTTGGCGTTGAAGTCCTGCCACATGGCCTCCGTAGTCACCTCCGACCTGATCCACACCAGGAACAGCGACTGCGTCGTCGAGTGGCCACACACGTAGGCATGACGTCAGCATACACGTCAGCATGATGTCAGCACAAGAGGTTGGGTACTTGGAGCATGATGTCGGCGACGTTGTTGGTGGGCGCCACAGAGTCGAGGGCGAAGGGCGAGGTGGAGCTGAGCATCTCGTGGGTGGTGTCGAGCATGGTCTGCTGGAGGAAGGTCCAGGTGTCGGAGAAGAGGAAGCGCGAGAGCTCGAGCGGGAAAGCGGTGTAGATGTTCAGCAGCTCCTTGATGAGGAACGCGTGGCGCTCGAACTGCTCCAGCGTCTTCGACGAGATGAAGAAAATGCGCGACAGGTTGTCGATGAATTTCTGCACGAGGCCATCGGCCATTATAATAACATTAGTATTAGTTCATAACCACACATGAGGTGTTATGGGCGCATCAGCTGTACCTTCCAGTACTGCTGCCGCCATTCGTCGGTCACCTTGATTTTGACCGGAGAAATGGACTGCGGAGATGATGATGAAGAAGAGAGAGAGGTGGGTCAATCAGTCAGCCGATCTGTCAAGCTTGCTTCGCTGTTCAGCATAGAGTGTCTGTGTTTGCGCGGGGTCATCGCCGGAAGCGTACGAGAAGGATGTTCTTGAAGACGTCCATCGCCTGCTTGATGATGACATGCTGCGCTACCGGAAGACGGCAGGCCTGGCGAGAGATCTCCATCAGGAGAGGGCCTGCGCCACACAAAGCAAGAAGAGAGAGAGAGAGAGGAGACATTAGCTAAGCTGCAAGTTTGGCAACTGTTTGCTATTGTTGTGAATTGTGGTGGTAGGCGTGCCGTTCGTGTTGCTCCAAATGATGGGGTTGAGGGTGGAATCGTCGGTCCAAATGGCGACCTGCTCGACAAGCGCAGCGATCATCTCGGCGGGACAGCTCTCTTCAAAGCGTTTCTCTGTTGGCAGCAATCACGGAAGTAAGTCATCCATCTCTCATCGCGTCGGCAGGGTGGTGGCGGTGACGAGTGAGCGAGCGAGCGAGTGAAGTGGGAGGAATAGCAACCTTCGATGCGTTCGATGATGCCGAGTTCAAGAGAGATGTTCGGGAAGAACAGGCTGAAGTAGCTCTGCTTCCACAACTCGAACCAGAACTCGAATTTGCCCATCCTATGTAGTTGGCATAGCTGAGGTCAACACGGTGTTCGCGTGTCGCGTGTGGTGTGCGGCGTGTGTCGTGCGTGAACAGCTTTCGTTACCTTTCGGGGCGGGAGATGAACTCGAAGTAGTACTTGGTGAGCTCGACGGCGTCGCTGCGGGTGGGGCTCTGATGGCCGGGGGCGAGGCACGCCATTTCGGGCGACGAGGCGAAGGACGGGTCGGCTCGCTTCCGCTTGTCCTCGCGCTCTCGCTCCTTCTCCGACAGCCGGTTCTCGCTCTTCTCCTCCTCCGGCCGCAGGAACGGCTCGTAGATGATCGCCGCCGCGAACTTGCCGACCTGATCAGACCGCGAACGTTGCAATCAAACGTTTGGCATCAACCCACGGCGCAGAACAAAGAGAAAAGAAAGAGAAAGAAAGGAAAAGAAACACACAACCAAAGTAGTTACCTGCTCCTCCATTTGTTCACCGAGCACTTCCATGAAGGTGAGCAGCAGGTCCAAGCCGTCTTTCCGCACACAGTGCTTGTTGTACTCGTTCAAGCAGCTGTCCATCACGCGGCCTGTGGATGGTGGTGATGATCAACACGGTGGACGAGGAGCAGCAGGAGAAAGCGGCGGCGATGGAGGAGAAGGAGGAGGGTTGTACTGAGATTGGCGTATTGCCATTTCTTCTTGATCTGCGGGTGGAGGAGCAGAATGAACTGCTTGAGCACGGCAATCACTGATTGCACATTGGGAATGTGCTGCTTCTTATCTGCACCGTTCCACGTACGTGCACCGCCACCACCACGACACGCACCAACGCACGCACCACATACCACCCACGCACCAGCCAGGTTCGTGCGTGAATAGGGTGGTGCCAAGGTACAAAGTAGCAGGCATGGCAGAGGAAGTGTACGCACCCTTCTTCTGGGAGGACTCGAGATCGGCAAATCGAGCGAGCAGGACGGCGAAGATCTGTTCGTACTTTTCTACGAAGAACGCCTTGAGCTCCTCCTTGGTTGCGCTCTCTGTGGGACATTCATAAGAAATGCGCTTAGAATTAAAATGTGTCGTAATTGACGAAGAAATGAATATAAATTAAGTAGAACATTTTCGATTGGGCAAAGGGGGAGTACCAATGAAGGAGACGAGGGACTTGAAGCGCTTGGCAGGCTTTTCTTTTTCCTTGAGGAAGGTCTTGAGCTTGGTCTGCGACTTCTGCGACAGCGGCGACGCGCTCATCTCTCGGCGATTTTGTTTTGATGTGATTAATTAATGAAGCGAAAAAAGTGTTTGGAATGGTAAAATACAACTCCAATTGTTTCGCGATCCTCGTCGACCTTCCTGGATGATGAAGGCTCTCGGTGCTGAGGCGCTAACAATAAATAAACCACAACAAGAAAACGATTATTATTTGTTCGTTGTTGGCTTTGCTCGGGTCTCCGCTCTTTCACGCCGACTTTAATTTACGGTACTCTGCCCATTGGTGCCCAGGCAGACCATTAAAAGAAGTTGCACACGAGGCCAACATGTGTCGTGTTTTTATCATTTATTTCATTCTCCTCACCTTAATTCCCCCCCCCCCATCAATCATCCAGTTCAAGTCCAGTATGATGGCCAGTCCAGTGAATTTCATGCTTGGTCAGGGAACAGGCAGCTGGCATCCCCTCTCCCTATGGGGGCCAGTGGGCTGCTTCAGCCAGGCACATTTGTTGTCTTTCTTTCACCTCCCCTTCATCATGAACCACCTGCCACTGGACCTCCACTGCCTCAATCCATGATTCCTCATTCCACTTCCAAAGTTCATTCAAAACAACACCAACAAAGAAAGCAACACACACATTGGTATGTTCACCAGCCTTCTTACCTCTGTGTCCTTTGCAGATGGAAAAAAAAAAGCATTGTGTCTTGCTCACATGCCACTGTGGCTCTTGCAACCATACACCCAGAGCAAACATTCAATCCACCACTCCCACCACACACTACCTGGATATACATCATCATCATCATGTCACATCTATCTGCCAACACACACAGCTGCACACTGCCCTCAACACAGTGGCTCTACCTCATCCCACTCTCACTCATCAATTCACCTTTGACAATCTGGCCTTCACTGACCACATGCTGTGCATGCAGCTGTTGCCCAATGTCACATGCAGCAACACACCCACCCCACCAGCCATTGACCTGCACCTTCCCTTCTGTCCCTTGGGCTGGGCCACCAAGGCATTGACCACCAGCAACCACAACAACAAGATGCCTTACACACCCACTGCCCTCAACACAGTGGCTCTACCTCATCATATTCCAGCACTTGAGGCAGCTTCACATGCCATCTAGAAGCTTGACCTCACCCTGCACCAGTGTGAAGTGCTGCTCAACCTCCAGTCCTCCCTGCAGGAAAACAAGTACACAGTGTGTGTGTGTGTGTGTGTGGTGTGTGTGTGTTGTAGCAGTTGAGCTGCTTTGTGTACCACTTCTCTTGCCACTCATGTGATGCTGTGGTGCCTGCAAGCAGAGCATTCAATCTGGCTGTGGCCCAAGTAGTAGTGATGGCACAGTCAGGCAGGGTGAAAGGGAAGGGCACACCACACAGATATCCATACACCTCAGGAGGCCCAACCACACTCTTCTCCAGGTTTCAGTGGGTCCTCCAGAAATACCTCAATCAACGTCAGTCCAGTTCCAGTAGGGTGTGGGAGGTTGCACTTACCTTCTGTCTTGTTTGATGTGCCACAGTGGATGAAGTGGAACAAATTCCTGAAGGGTGTCAGATTGGTCTGCTTCATGTGGGTCCTTGTATACACACACAGCTGGACTGGGTCACAATGAGTGGCCATCTCAGACCACAATGCATGGAACCCAACACAGCCCATCCTGTTGGCCAATGCAATGGCAAGGGTGGCCTTATTTGGAGAGCACTTGGTGGAGGCCCTTCAGGAGTGTGTGGGCCATCTGCAGGCTCACCACACCTTTGTGCCATGCCTTTCCACACACACTGCACATGTGAGGAGGGAAGTGAAGTGTGAGATAAGGTGGTGGAGGGAGTGGGTACTTTGGCCTGGCCCATGTCTGTGTAATTGCAATTGACATAATGCTGCAGCACAGCAGGCATGATCCTCTCAGGCCACCAGCACTGATAAAACCTGTCCTCCACCTGCCCCAAACACTGTGTATAAATTTTTATTTCTTTATGAAACAAAATATATTAAAAAATCAAGTTAGGTGGTACCTTGAGCATGGTGCAGTTGAGCAGGGTGACTAGCAACTCAGTGATCTCATAGACCCACTCACCCCCCTCAGCATGCTTCACTGTCATCAGAGTCACTCTCAAGTGCTGCTGTTCTTCTTGGTTGAGTTCATCAAACAGCTCATCCTCCAGCGCCCCAAAGCCCCAGCTGCACTCTCTGCCATGCACTCATGTTTGTTGTGCTGTTCTCTTCCCTCAAAGGAGGTACCGAAATTATTCATTTGTATTTTCGTGTGATCTTCATGCCTTGATAAATCCGGGAATTGGGATTGTGCTTTCGCGCCATTTTGTTGGTGCCAACTGCAAGCGCGGCTGTGTGCTCTGGGTTCAAGCAATAGCATGTATGCACCGGGACGCCACCAGGACACGCCCCATCCATACGGCCAGATGAGGGCGACGAGCTTGCCGACGGCTACCCCTTACACCCCGGCAACGTTGGCGTCGATCAAGGAGTATGAATCGGTATCCACCCACTGAGACCTTCAAATTGTGTAAATTGGCACTCAAGATCTTATTGTGCCTTCAATCCTCTAGACAATCAAGGAGCTGCAGAATGAAAACTGGCAGCTCAAGCTCCGCATCTTTTACCTCACTCAATCCGTGGAGCGTTTCAAACCCGAGGATGGATTCAACATCAAAGAGGTACGTGATTTCTGATGTAGTGCCCGCTTTGCACTCGCCCTGGCTCAACTCTCTTCCGGCCACAGAATATTGAGCAAAAAGTTGCCATCGAGAAACTGCAACGCGATCTCGAGGAGAAGGATGCGTTGCTTCTCGCAGCGCGCACAACCATCCAGCGGTATGTCGAGGTATGTGGGACCTAGCTCTTTGCATCGGCCTCTCTTCTCTTTGTGCCCTCCCCTCACGCTGGCGTCTACCCAGTCGGAGACCAACTCGCTCGACAAGACGTTCTCCGATCTCAACGAAGAGGGCTATGCGGGAGAAGAGACCGAAGAGCATCTCCACCACAAGAAGCAAAGTGATCAAAAGCAGCGCCAGCTTGAAGACGAAAACGCCAACTTGCGGTAAGTTGAGCGGCAGCGTATCTCAATCCAGCCTGCTAGCTTCCAGCTTACACGCTTTCTCATTGTGCAACAGGGAAATGTTCCAAGAGCAGTCCAACGATATGGAAGAGTTGGTGGCTCGCCTTGAGACCAGCGAGGAAAGAAACAAGGAGCTGCGATCAACTGTGCAATCGGTTCGTTCTCGCCACTTCCCGTGCCATTTAGGTGGTAGTAGTGATTGTCAACTCAACGGCATATGTAAATGTGCAGAGTGAAGAGGCAGTGGCCGATCTGCAGGAGAAGCTCAATGCCCAAGAGTCGCGGCAGATCTCCGATCCGAACACGCCACGCAAGCAGGTGCGACGATCCTCCTGACTCTCATTTTCCCTCAATGCATCGGACCGAGACAGAACTTGACTCCTTCGTGTGTGGTTAGGCGTTGCAACAGAAGGTTGTCACACTGGAGGAGCAGCTTGCCCAGTACGACCAAGAGCTGCAACAGCGCAGCGCCGCCTCTGATGAAGTAGTGCGTGTCATTTTTGTTACATCATATAAATGTTTATCAGTGGCAGTAACTTACAGTCTCCTCCTTGCAGGACCAGCAGATGCTTGCGGAGTACGAAGAAACCATCAAGTTCTACGAGCAGAAGACCAAAGGCCTCGAAGCCGACAATGTCAGCCTATTGGCCGCCCTCCAGGAGAAGGACAGCGAAGCTGCCGCGGCGCTACTTGAACTGAAGGAAGAGCATCTCACTGCACAGGTAGCCACCCTCCATCTGCTTGCTCGTACGCGTGTGTGTAGTGTGTGGAGCTTACCTTTAGGTGCATTATGACAGGCACAGGCCAAGCAGCTCGAGGAGCAGCTCGAGGCTCTGCGTGCTCAGGCAACAGCTGCCAAGCAAACTAAGCTCGCGCAGCGGCGAAGCGAGGAAGAAAATCACGTTATGAAGGAACAGCTCGAAGCTAACCTCAAGATGATGGACGACTACCTCAAGATGATGGAGCAGATGGTACGTAGGCACCCTCGGCACTTAGCCCAAGTATTCCAAGCATTTATAATGGGCCTCACGCTGGCGGTTGTTCCATCAGGGGACGAAGTACAAGGACCTCCAAGCCGCGAACAAGGACCTCATCGAAGAGAACAGGTCCCTGCGCGAGCAGCTGACGTCAACTCCCCTACCCGTCCCCGCCGTCCCGCGCGGCGGCTCAGACGTGCGATCATCGCGTTCTCCTCTCACCCCCTCCCTCGGCCAGCAGTCGCCTCTCTCGCACACCCTCTCGTTCTCGACGGTCACGCCCTCTCGGGTGTCTCCGATCTTGCCGACCGGCGTCCAGCTTCGAAGAGACGAGAACGGCGGAGCGACGGCCAGCGCGAAAGAGTCGCGACGCGAGAGCAAGAAGACTGAGCGAGGAGGAGACCCCGCAGATACGCGAGCAGGCAAGCATCGCCATGGTGACAGGCGACGACGTGGCAATGACTACTACTCAGGCGAGGAGAGCGATGAGGAAGTGGATGAAGAGGAGAGACAAGACGAACGAAATGGTAATATGCGACCGAAGTCGAAGGGCAGGAGAAGGGAGGAGCGGTCTGGCAGAGAAGACGAACGCAGGGAAACGGTCCGCCGCCACCGGAGCAGAGGGAGGAGGAGCGCCTCTGGGTCGGGCAAGGCCAAAGAGGAGGCCGAGCGAGAGCAGGACTACGACAACAACGACGAGGACCTGCTGCAGATCGACGACCCCATGGAGGCCCTCGTGCAGCAGATCCAGGAGAGGGACGACTTTGTGTGCCTGGTCGCGTTGGCGCTCAAGGAGCTCCATAAGACCTGCGCGCAGGGCGGGTCCACCACCGGCGCCACTGCCAACGATGGCCACGGCCACCGCTGGGCGAACGGCGGCTTCGAGTTTGATCTCAGCAACAGGTTTGGGATGAACTCGTCGTCGTCGACGGGTCACGCGCGAGAGCACGCGAGGCCGTCGTCGACGTGCTCGTCGTACGCCTTCTCCGCGCTTCCGTCGCCGCGTAAGTCGTCATCGCTCGCTCTCAGCATCCGGCTCCCTCCGTCTACGCGCGACCTCGACCGACTCTCGGTAGCGCTCACCGAGCAGAAGCTGGCCATGGAGGAGGCCTTCGTGCTGCTGGCTTCGCTGGTGCGGAAGAGGGACGCGGCGCACCAGAGCGAGCGCGAGCGGCTGCAGCAGGTGGCCAGCAAGTACAAGTACGAGATCAACTCGCTCAAGATGCAGCTCAAGCACTTCAAGGGCTTCTACCAGCGGGGCAGCGGCGGAGTCCGGGGCGGAGGATCGATGCCGCGCACCCGCTCGGTGGAGGCGATGCAGATGCGATGCGGCGGCGGCGACGAGAGCGACGACGAGTACGACGACTACGGCGCTGGCCACGATGCGGCGGACATGTGGCGTACGCGGGATGGGGAGGACGACGTGACGACCATCTTCAACCGGCTCAAGTCCAAGCTGCGGAAGGAGAGGGCCGCGGACCGCGACTACCTGCACCAGTCCCACGACGCCGACGAAGAGTACGATCGGAGCAACCAGGAGCTGCTGTGGGCGCTCAAGGAGGTGCAGGTATGTCTTTCTTTTCTTTTCTTGAGCTCCAGACAAAAGCTCAAGCCACCCACGCAGACAGCGACTGATCGTGGTTTTTGGGTGGTGGGCTGATTGTGTGGTGAACAGACCAAGGTGGAGCGCCTGCAGGAGAGCAACCGGATGCTCACGATGGAGCTGGAGGAGAAGAGAGGTCTCATCGAGAAGATCAACTCCCTGTACAAAAACATACCCCAGCTCCTCCAGGTAACCTCTCTCTCTCTCTCTCTCGCGGTGGTATGTGTCATTGGAGGACTCACCCGTTCCCCTTTCCTCTCCAGTCGCCCACGTTGCCCACCTTCAGTCGCCCGACGCCCGACTTCAGGTTCCTCCCGTGAGCTCGCGCGTCAAATACACCAATTCCCTTCAAGTTGCATTAGTCTGTGTGTCGTGTCGTGTGTGCGTCGTGTGGTATGCGGAGCGTGCTGCAAAGTCGCGTTGTTACGGCTTTAGTGTGTGCCGCGTTCGACGTCTTCGTCCGAACTGCTGGGCGCAGGGCCGCCGTGCAGCCAGCCTTGATCGTCGTCGTCCATGTCTGGTGGAATGTCGTCGTCCTCGAAGCGCAACGTCGTTGGCCCGTGGCCCCCGCTCTTGCTCTTGCTCTTGTCCGTCTTTGCCTTCTTCTTCTGCTTCTTCGTCTTCTTGTGCTCTCCGCTGTCGGCCGCCTCGCTCTTTTCCTCTTCGTAGGCAACCTCGTCCGAATCGTACTCCGATTCACCGTCATCATCCAGAGCGGCCTCGTCGTCGTCGTCGTCGTCGAAGACGTCATCGTTGTCGCTCTCGCTGAGCACCTCGATGTCGCTGGCCGCGTCGGTTTCGTCGAACATGAGGTCGGTGGGCATCGTGACGGCCGAATCGATTGACTCCGGCAAGTTCCTTCACGTGTGCCGCACACACATCATCGTCAATTGGCGCCCACACCTCGCACCCCGTCAAGCACCGCACACGGCGCACATCGCTCCACCGCACACGGCGCTCATCACTCATCGCACACTGGCCAACAGTACATGGTGCGTACCTGTGCTTGCCCAGAATCATGACGAGCGCCAGGATGAATTTTGACCCGCCGGACCACACGCCGCAGAAGGAAAAGGCGAACGATCCATAGCCCAGCGAAAGCCCCACCGTACCTGGGAACCACGACACCGCATCAGTGCGTGTCGTGTCGTGTCGTGTCGTGTCGTGTCGTGTCGTGTCGTGTCGTGTCGTGTCGTGTCGTGCATTGCATGTGACGAACCGTAGGCGGAGACGACTTCGAAGATGACTTTGAAGAGGGTGTAGTTGGAGTCGACGGCCAGCGGGATCTCTTCGATCATGCTGATGAAGAGGATGGCGAGGAACACGAACACGAAGTGCTTCACAAAAATGTTCTGCGCCTGCGAGCCCACCGTGTTGGTCGTTTGCGTCGTTCGGCCCGCTGCGCACACGACACACAACACGACACCAATTTACGCAGGTGTGAACAGTTGCCCTTGGAGCGGTGGCGCGATGGCGCAATGCCGAGGTGGACACGTACAAGCCTCGATACTGTCAGCGCTGGCCTTGCCGGTGTAGCGCACAGTGATGGCAACGGGCGATGCGGCGATGTACATCATTCCTAATCGACATTTGGTGTAGTGAGGAACTGTTTGTGCCTTGTGTGCCGTAGTATGATTGTGTGTGTGTGTGTGTGTGTGTCATCGTCATACCGGTGTACAGCCACAGGATGGAAGCGGAGAGTTTGGTGAGATCGACCGAATTGAAGCCCGACGTGCGGATGGCGATGGTCTGTCGTGCAGGTCGTGTGTGTAGTCAGTCAGTCCTGTCTGACACAAGTGATTGAGCGCATTTTGTGCAGCAGCAGTAGTAGTACCTGGAAGTACATGTTGAGGAGCTTGTAGGACGGGCTGAGCTGCAGATAGGCCGCGTTGTCCCAATCCAACACCTGCCCGCACCACCACATCATGTAAACAGGCCATCACTAGTGTTGTGTATGTGTGTTGTGTGTGTGTGTGTGTGTGTGTGTGTGTGTGTGTGTGCGTTGTGTGTGTTGTGTGTGTGTGTGTGGGGAGAGGCGCGTACGAGCTCAAAGATGAACTCGACCGAGTTCAAGAACACCAGTACTACGAGCAGCCACCTGGTCTCGGCCGCGGGGAATAGATGGGTGAAGCAGCGACGCGGGTGGTCCAGCATGTACCGGTACACGTGACGGTATCGCCTGCGCGCGCACGCGACATTTGTTTGCGTGTCGCCACACAATGAATTGATGGCCGATCGGTCTGGCTGACGGCCCGCCAGCTACGTACTTGAGAAACGGCGTTCGCCAGAGCGTGTAGATGATCAGTCGCATCAGCAACGGGAACGCCGTGTTGCCTGGAGGACAGTACAGTATGCCACGCGCCAGGGACGTGTGAGTGTGCTGTGTGTGCTGTGTGTGCTGTGTGTGCTGTGTGCTGTGTGTGTGTCGACAGACTGAGTGTGCACCGGCCAAGATGAGGATGGACATGACGATGAGCGGCAGCGGGTAGGTTTGCCACTGCACCATGCCGTCACCAAACGTTGAGTACCCGCAGTTGCCGAACGCCGACAGGGAATGAAACAGGCCCCACCTTGGTTGGTGTGTCGACACATTGCAGCAAGTCAGAGCTCTCTGCCGCCACACGCGCGCCGCGGTCAAATGTCTTAGACGGGGCCGGGGGGGGGTGTACCAGGCGGCATTGTTGTCATTCTTGTCGATTACGCCGTTGGCGTCGGAGGCGCCGGCCATGTAGGAGCCCATAACGATCCAGCCCAGGCCCACGAAGACGCAGTAGTACGTGGGCACGATGATCACCAGCTGCCACAGCGCATAGTACTCATCTGAAATACCACGTTAGCGCTCGTGTTGCGTGTCGTGCCGTGTCGTGTCGCGCCGTGTGTGTCGTGGTGTGTGGTGTGGTGTGTGTGGAAATACCGGTCTTCTGGGTGATGTTCTTCTGCTTGAAGAAACGGTGGAAATGGAAGAGACGAGTAACGACCGGCGCGATGGTGATGAGCACGCCATTGCCCAGCACCATCACCACGGCCAGAATCACCTGCCCGAGGCGACTGAACGCCGAAAAGTTCGTCGGAAACAACCTGCCATGTGGTGCGACCGATGAGCCCATTGAGCACACACACACACACAACACACACACACACACACACACACACACACACACACACACACACACACACACACACACAACACACACACAAGCGGCGCAGGAATGATGGGTGCCTGGTACCCGGTTTGAGTGCTCGTGGAGGCGCCGTGAACGAGTGCGTCGAGATAGCTCATTTCGCTCGATAGCCCCAACTGCGACAGATAGATGGCCAACCCGCCTGCACCGTGTCATATCGGTGTGCGCGTGCGTGTGCGTGTGCGTGTGCGTGAGACACACGGGTCTCCGGTGGTACTGGTTGCTAAGCAGCAGAAGGGGCGCTGTGTGGGTACCGAAGACGGAGAGGAAACAGATGTAGAGGAGGTGCAGACGGAAATAGTTGAAGGGAGGCCACAGCAGGTTGAGCACGGCCTCGTAGAAGAACACGTACAACGGAACAACCTCCTGCTCTTCCTGTGTTTGCTTGGGTCTGTCGGCACCACCATCAACCCCACATTAACTTGTCACACACTCACGCACGCACGCACACACGCACACACACACGCACACACACACACACACACGCACACACACACGCATGCAGCACCGCACACGGTGAAAAGATGGTGGCCGTTACTTGAAGAGTGGATTCTGTGCGCTGTGCCAGGTGGCGGCCCTCTTCTTGCGCCTGCGGAGGCCCGTTCCCTCGGATTCGACGCTCCGATCGCTCTCGCTCGGCGTGAGCGGAGGTCGGCTGCCTTGGTGGCTGGACTTGGTGAGCTTCCGTTGGTCGTCGTCCCTTCTTCCTGCATCGTCCTCTCCACTACTCGTGGTGGACCCTTTGCTTGCCTGTCGGCGGTGGCGACGGCGCCGCCGGGTGTGCGCTCTTTCCGTCTCCGTCTCGGATTGTCCCACGTCGCTGGCGAAGCTCACAGCTGGGACATGCAATGTTTTTGTTAATAAAATAAAAAATGTTAATTTAATTCAAAAAATCAAAACAAAAACACAAAAAATAAACAAAGAGTAAAAAAGAGGAATGAAGAACAGCCAAGAATGGGAATTAGAATAATAATAAAATAATAAAAATAATAAAGGGGGTGTACCTTTGGCGCGGGTGCGAGAAGGGCCGCGTTCGTTCTCGGCCGTACGGAAGAGGGTGCGCATGACCCACGCCTTGGAGGAGTCGTCCCGCAAGCCCTGCTGTGCAGACGTCTGCAGATCATCTCCTCCGCTTTGCCCGACGCCCTTCCCGCTCCCGCTCCTCTTCCTCCTCAACGCCGTATGAGAGGAGCCCTTCCCCTTTTTGTGGTCCTCGCCATCATCTGCTGTTTGGTTGCTCTTGCGATTTCGTTCGGCCTCATCCCGATTTTTGCGATTACTGTTGTTCATCTCTTCGAGCGCCACCATCTCGAACGATGTTGTTGCCGATGTTGTCACTCGTTCTTCATCCTCCACAGAAGAAGGTGAATACCCATCTCGTTCATTCTCCTCCATCCCGGGTTGGCCCGTTGTTGCGGGCAAAATCACAGAGAAACCAAAAGAGAAATAGTTGCGGAAACCGTGGTGACGGCAGCTGGACCGGTGGTGACCACGGCCATGGCGGTGGCCTACTTTATCAGCGACCACGGCTTCGGGCATGCCGCACGCTCATGTACACACGCGCCAACACTGCAAGTCTTGCTGGGAGGCTACTGAGATACTGATGGACACTTTTTGCTGGATGGGGGGGGGGTAGTGGCGCTGCTCGCGGAGCTGCTACGACGCGAAGTGCCGGTGGTCGTCGTATCCAGCGTGCCGCGCTGGTTCTTCGAGGAGAGCCTCGAAGGACTAGACTACATCTCCACACAGGTGCGTCACTGTCGTTCGCCCTTGGGTCGATGAGTTGGTGCCGCAGCGGTTCTGCCTCACCACCGTCGCGTGATGGCGCAGGTGGACGTGGGCGTGCACCAAAAGACAAGCGTGGATATCGACTACGAAGCCACGCTCGACCGCCTCGAGCAGCACTGGAGCAGTACGCCACAAAAGGTGCGCGGTCGCTTTGAGTTTGCCTCGGTGCCAGTCTGTGTCTGTGCGCCTGACGCTTTGTCAACTTGCCAGGTCGACCACTTGGCGGGTGAGCTGCGAGAGTGGTTCTCCAAGGTCGGTGGCGAGGCCTCGCTCCGCAGGATTGTGTTTGACATCACCGCGCTGGCGCCACTCGTTGCTGACAAGCTTGGAGTACCCTCGGTCGGCATCTCCAACTTCACCTGGTAAAGGGGACACGCACGCCTCTATGAATCTGTCAACGACCCACCCACTCACAGTGTCGTTCGTTTCAGGGACTGGGTCTACGAACCCTTTGTAGAGAAACTGCCGCGCTTTCAGACCTACATCGATTTGCACAGGCAGGCCTACGCCAAGGTCCCCTACATCCAGTGTCCTGTAAGCACATCTCATCAGTTGTTCGTTCTTTTGCGCCTTCGTGTGGTGGTGGTGAATGCAGACATCGCTGTTGTTGAATCTGGTCTACAGTGAGATCAAAGGCTTCAACTGCCCGTCCTACGAGATCCCGTGGCTCGTGCGAAGCGCCAGCCTGAGCAGGGAGACGGTGCGCACGCGACTGGGTCTGAGTAAGTGTCCACCATCCCCCCCGTCTCTTTTCTTGAGCGCTCGCTGGTTTGCTGTTTGTTGACCGGTGACTATGTGCAGGCCAGACGCAGCGCTATTGCCTCTACTCCTTCGGTGGACACGCCTTTCCGCTGGACAAGGTCCAGGAATGGCAGGTGCCGCCGGGCTGGTCGGTGATCCTTGTCAACAAGGCCTTGGCCGATCACAACACCGCCGAAGCGGAAAAGGCGGGCAAGGAGGGCGTGGTCTTCTTGTCCCAGACCCTGCTCGACAGCCTCCACATCCAATACGTCGACCTGTTGGCCGCAGTGGTACGCCACCCACGAGGTTCATATTCGTGCTTACTTGGCCTTTTGACCCCTCCTCCACACAGGACTTGGTGGTGTGCAAAACGGGATACGGCATCGTCAGCGAGTGCGTACGGCACGGCATCAGGTCAGGCCCCTCAGGGAATGTTTGATGGATTGATTGAATAGGTGCGGTCGGCCACTGACGCAGGCGACTCCACATCACATCCGGCAGTGCGCTGTTCACCGACCGTCCTGGGTTCATTGAACACGAGTCCATGGCGAGAGCGTTCCAGGAGAATGTCAGCTGTGACGTTGTCACTCTCGACGAGGTGGTTAACACCCTCATCACGCCCGCCCTGTGTGCAGAGCGCGAACATGCTGACGAACACACACGTACGTGCCCGTCTCGTTAGGTCTTGGAGGCATCTCCTTCTCTCTGGGTGAAGGCCGACCGAGTGGTCCCCAACACCAAGCGGAGCCGGCACGCGTTCAACGGCGCCGAGCGGGCCGCCGACCGCATCCTCGCCGTTCGGTGGTGACCACACCCGGCAAACTTCCCAGTTCCTCTTCCGCGATTTGTCTACCCAGCATTTTTCTCAGCCTTCCCCCCCCCCAATAAAAGAAAGATGGACACTCGGGACTACGGGACAACATGAGCATTCTTGATCGGGCTTCTTTCCCCAATCGACAAGAGAACACCTACTCGCGAGTGACGGAAGAGAAGGGGAGATGGAGCACGAGGAGCAGGAACGAGAAGAGGGGCAAGAGGTGGTAGTGGGAGAGGTCGAAAAAAAGGAAGAAGAGCGACAGCTGACGGAGGGGTGGAGTGCGGCAGAGGCAGAGGCCAAAGCGGATGAAGCTGACCGGGTGCGAGGCTCCTTTCTGGGTCTGGCCTGGGGCGACGTGTTCGGGTGCCCGGTCGAAGGCTGGCGCTCTGGAGCCATCCAGCAGGTTCCTCCCCAGCCATTTTCTCTTCAGAAAAATAGTACAAAAATTCAAATAGAAAAAATAATAATAATAGAATAATATTATTAGAATATATATATATATATATAATAATAGAATATATTTGTGGTTGTTTTAAGGTGTACGGGGACTATGTGGAGCTGCCGTCAGAGCACTCAGTGGCTACCATCGCTGCGCTCGGCCGGGGCTACATCCGCAAGCTTCGGCCCATCGGTTCGTCGCTACTTACCCCTCTGGGCTTCCCCCAATCAGTGCTAATCCCATCGTGAATGCAGGCCTGTACTCGGACGACACGCAGCAATGCATGGTGCTGATCCAGTGCTGTCTCTTTGGCAAGGACCAGCCCGAGCCCAGTGAACACGCCGAAGACAGCGATGAAGACGACGCTTCGGAATCGAGCGAAGAAGGCGAAACTGCAGAGGTTGCCGACGCATCGGTGCCACCACCTTCAGCAGTGGCGACGACTGCTGCGGCCCCGGCGGCCGCCAAGCCGCTGCCCAAGGGAATGGGCCGAGTGCTGAGCGGACCCGGACCCGAGGTGCGAGTCGAGTGGAACGCGCGCCGGTGGGGCCGCACGCTGGGCCTCATGTTCCGCCGCGACGCCCTGCGCGACTACGGGCGCCACTTCAAGGAGGCCGTTTCCAAGCTCAGTCACAACATCCCCCCACAGCAGTCCGGCAGCAAGTCCGAGGGCATGGGCGCCGCCATGCGCATCGGTATCTCTCTCTCTCTCTCTCGTGTGTGTGTGTTGTTGTGTGTGTGTGGTGTGTGGTGTGGGCATGCAAGAGGCAAACTGGCTGATGGATATTTTACGATTAGGTGCGCTGGGAGCGCTGTTTCGCAATGACCCGGAGACGCTGGCGGCGTGCGCGTGGGAGGCGAGTCTGGCGACCCACGCCACGCTTCCCGCGGCATCGATGGCCTACGCCGTGGCCTACGCCGTGGCGTGCTTGGTCAAGGTGTGCCCACTGACTCTCCGCGCGTGCAGGCCAAAATTGAGACTCACGATCGGTTTTTTTGTGTTGTATTCTCTTGACTACCTACGCAGGGCCTTGGCGTGGCTGAGGTGCGGGACAGGTTGCCAGGCGCGGTGGCCGCTCGTGAGAAGCAGTGGCTGCTGGACCAGGGCAAGTGGGAGATCTGGGCGTCCACCGACAACTGCCACCTGATTTCCCATTGCCTCCGCACCGTCTTCACCGAATGCGACATGACCGATCGAGCAGGTGACATTCTCCCTCTCCATTGTGTTGCGTCGTGTGCGTCATGTGCGTTGTTGTGTTGCACCTTGTACTTACTCTCGCTCTGGTGGTGGTGGGTGGTGGTGCTTACGCAGGTTTGCGTGCGTTCCTGTCGGAGAACGCAAAGCCGCACCTGGCCGAGGGCTTTGTGAAGGCCCACCCCAACCAGGGCCACGTGCTTCTGGGCGGCGCTCATGGCTTGATCATGGCCCTTCTGCCCGACATCGAGCCGCAAGAGATACTAAGGGTACCCCTACCACCTTGCCGCTACGCACACCTACGCATGGACCACCAGGACTGATACAGTGCATGCGCCGCACATCAGGAAATCATTGTGCTTGGTTATGACACAGACACTGTGGCCGCCATCTGGTGCGCACACTACCCTTCTCCTGGTCTGACAGCCTTGCATTCCGTAGTAGCTTTGCTGACCCACTCGGCGTGCAGTGGCAGTGTCCTGGGCGCCCGCTTCGGTACCGGCTGGATTCCGATGCATCGCCTGCTCGAGCGCGAGCGTCTGGAGACCTACGCCAAAGCACTCGTCACCGGTACTACCGCTGTGTGCACTCTCAGAGAGGACCCAGCTCACCCCCGTTGATGTTGTTGTAGCGGGAGGGAGCAGGACAAACGGCGGCCACATGAACTGGAGACGCTCGAGGAGCTAGTCGAGAAGGAGGTCAAGCTCACGGCCTGGGGCAGGAGCGTGAAGCGACAGAACGGCCTGGGCAAGAAGAATGCGCATGTCCAGGGAGGCGCAGGCGCGGGTGGAGATGCAGAAGGGGACGAGAAGGGCGAGGACAGCGGACGAGGCGGACGAGGGAAGAGCGGCAAGAAGGAGCGCAAGGGCAAGGGCAAGAACAAGGGGCGACGAGACGGCGAGTATCACTGATGACATCTTGGTCTGTCATGATGGTGGTGAGAATCCATGTTGTTGTACCACTACCTTACAGTGCGAACCAAGGGCAACGAAGTTTCGTTGGCCGACGTTGGCCGTCACCTTAAGGTTGGGGTGAGGCAGAAGCAACACGCGTTCACTTGATATCCAACAAGAAATCTTGGTAGTAGGAGCACGACACGCCATCTACCATCCGCGACACGGAGCTCCGCCAGAAATGATGGACAACTCCTCGGCCAAGCAGAATTCGAGGCCGCATGAGCGCCTTTTGCTCCATCAGAATGAAAGCTGCGTAATTCTGGAATGCGTGGCGAAGGAGTCCTCCCTCATGCTCTCCAATCCTGTGGGTGGCGCCAAGATGGTCCCTGGCCTTGTAATCGACCGAATCAAAGGCAATCCGGCTACAAGTAAGAATTACCCTCCTTACTTTTAGACATTACAGCTGCTAATCATCCCAATACTTCCATCTTTATTATTTTTAAAATTATAAATAAACTTGATCCACTCAGGCACCAATTTTGATCCGCTGTTGTCTCGCGAGATTTTCGGTGTGCTCGGTGTTGTGCAGCTGATCACTGGTACCCTCCCTTCCGCTTTGCCTATACCTCGTTGTTTTGTTTTGGGCCACTTACACTCACTTGCAGGCCAGTACCTGGTGGCCATTGCTGAGCGCCAGGAGGTGGGGTACATCAACAACGCCGCCATTTACAAGATGGCCAAGGCGCTAGTGGTGGCCATCCCCCGGCAATGCGAGTACTGGAGCGAGGAAGAGGTTCGAACAAGTGGTTCCCACCAATTCACAACACGCCCTCTTTCCAGATCGTTGCGTTCTCACTGATTGTAACACAACCATGTCATTGCATTGCCACGTCATCGGTTCGCGCAGAGGCGACAAGAGCGCGAGTATCTGAAGAACCTCAACAACTTCCTGGACCAGTCCGAATTTTACTTCTCCCTGGACTACGACATCACGCGACGCGTGCAGCACATCGTCAGCATGACCGCGGCGGAGAGGGCGCAGCCGCTGTGGCAGCGAGTCGACGATCGATTCTTCTGGAACAAACACATCTCGCGCAGCTTCATCGAGGCGAAGGTAACGCTCCCGACCTCCGCCTCAACTCACGCTCATTTGGCTTGGCATTCATGTCTTATTGTTTCTATCTATATCTATAGCTGGACGAGTGGATATTGCCGGTCATGGATGGGTTCATCCATGTCGAGGTGTGCGAAGTCGGCGGGCTCATTTTTGACTACATTCTCATGTCTCGGCGATCGTGCTTCCGCACAGGTATTCACACCCTAGAGATCTCTAGCATTCAACCTGCGCACGCAGACAACGGCCCCCTTACGCTGATCGACTGCATCAACAGGTGCCCGATATCAGACGCGAGGCGCCGACCCGCAAGGCAGGGTCGCCAATTTTGTTGAGACCGAGCAGATCGTTGTCTACGGCAAGATTCAGTCGGCGTTCGTGCAGACCCGCGGCTCCATCCCTGTGATTTGGCATCAAAAGGGCAAGGGTCTCAAGCCCAAGCCCTCTGTACAGCACTCCCTGTTCGCGGTAAGCCAAAGCTAGCCCAACACCCGCTCGCTTCTGCACTGTCGGGGCGTATTGTTGTGGTTTAACGTTCTCACACTTTTTCCGCGCGCGTGTGCTTTCCAGCGTACCGCCTTCCAGGCGCACTTCGAAGAGCAGATGCGATGCTACGGCAAGCAGCTGCTGATCAACCTTATCGACCAGCGAGGCAACGAACGCGATGTGGGCGAAGCCTACGAGACCCAGGTTCGGCTGCTCAACCACCCGGACATCAGGTACTACTTCCACCAAACGTCCGCGTTGAATGTCACTCGGTCGATTACACGTATGTTGAGCTCTCTTCAAACGTTTCATCACGCAGCTACATCCCGTTCGACTTCCATGAGGTGTGCAAGAACATGAAGTACGAGAACCTGCAGCTGTTGACCAACGAGTCGCAGCCCTACATGGATCGATTCAGGTACGATCTTTGTTTGTCTCCCGAGACCAACGCGTTGGTATTGACGATGTCGATTCTTTGACAAACATAACCAGATATGCCCTTGTTGACGCCGAGGGCAAGTTGGTCACCTCCCAGGACGGCGTGGTCCGCACCAACTGCATTGATTGTCTGGACAGAACCAATGTCGTACAGGTGCGTCTCACGCTTCACACACACACCACACACACACACACACACCAACACGCACACGTCACCATTTTAGCATAGACGCGTAACTCATGTTAATCTATTTATCCAGAGCACGCTGGCCCGGCTGATGCTGCAGGTGCAGCTGGAAAAGCTGGGTATCCTGTCCTTCGTGCGCATCCAGGAAGTGCCCACGCTCGATTCGCTGCTCAAGAACGTGTGGGCCGATAATGCCGACATTATGAGCAAGCAGTACACCGGCACGGGCGCACTCAAGACTGATTACACAAGGACAGGTACCACACCATATGCTCCAATCCTTGCCTATGGCGATTTGCGCTTCCCTCAAGTGCTCATTTTTTTCCCACGTTTCGCTGATGAATCCACGCAGGCCGTCGCAGCGTGCGCGGCACGATCACGGACGGCGTCAACTCGACGAAGCGATTCATGAACAAGAACTTCAAGGACGAGGAGAAGCAGGTCTCCTCCGATCTCTTCCTCGGGCGATTCCAGATCGAGAGGCGCCGCTATGATGAGCTCTTCCAATTCGACGGCGCCAGCAACAGCTACTATATTGCCAGTTACGACTCTTCATCTCACCACTCCAACTTGGTTTTTTGTTGCTTCATCTTCGCCTTTGGTGCGCTGATCGTGGTTTCTCTCATTCGCGTTTGCAGCCAAGGGGGCACGTCTCTACACCGACGGTGTGTTCAAGTTCCCGGTCTACCTGGTCTACTCGCCGGTGATCGATCCCACCGAAACGAACACCCGCAAGAAGCTGCGCCTGGCGGCTGTTCTGGAAGTCAGCCCAGCCGGCCAAGGTATACCGCCTTTGCGCACTAGAGCACTGGGCAGCAGCTGTCGCACTTAGAGTGCCTCACCGAGTTGCTTACCTGTCTCGCGTGGCAGGCGGCGGCACGCTGATGTCCTACGTGCTGACCATGTTCAGCAAGAAAGAGTACTCGTTGACGTCGCTCAAACAGATCATCCGCGACTTCAGCTACAACCGCGCGCTCAAGCTGCTCTTCGACACCTCGGCCCGCACCTACGACTACATTTTCAGCTCTGTCGAAGGTATGTCTGTCCGGCCAACTCCCGCTTACCTGCGTAGTGTCGTGCTTTCGTCGCGAGAGAGCTTACGCGACAGTTCTTGGCACTCTCCCTGGTGAACAGCACGAGAGCAGTTTATCCAGGTGGTGACCGGCATCCAGCGGTCCATGGGCATAGAGCCGACCGTGTACCTCCCGCAGCCGGTCATCGTGGACGTCTCCGAGGGCGAATCACCCAAGCTGGCCCTGCCCTCGCAGCCCGATCACCACCTCCAAGAAAACATCTCCGTCTTCACTGCCTCCTGGAACATGGGTATATATATTCTATATTATGTAACTTTTTAGTTCTTCACCTTGTTATACACCTTTACACTAGTTATCTCATTTCATTTGTTTGTTGCGAGTTTTGATGATAATGTTATCTAATGTGCCCTGTATGTCTTATGACAGAGAGCGCGGTTCCTCCATTCGATTTCTCTGGGTGGCTGGAGAAGGGCCACGACGTCTACGTCATCGGTGTACAGAACTGTCTGTACGCCGTGTTGGGCGACATGGCCTTCTCGTGCAAGGCCCACTGGGCCTACGTCCTGCAGGCCCATCTGGGCGATGAGTACCTGCTCCTGGCCCACCAGAACACTGGCGCCGATGGCACGGCGCTGGTTCTTCTGGCCAAGAAGACTCACGCATCCAAGATCACCAATCTGCGAGTACGCTTATTCACAGCCGGCGTGTGTGTCGTGTGTGTCGTGTGTGTCAAATATTGATCCCCATTCGCAGACCACGTATGCTGAGGAGGTTCGGACGAGAGAGATGATGTACGAGAAGAAGACTGCGTTTGCCGTGAAGGAACGCCTGACTCCCTTCATGAGCAAACTCACCGGCAGCTGGAAGAAGGACAGGGACAGGTAACCTACTCTCCACAATCAACACAGTGATTGCTTGCAATGAAAGCTTCGCACTTCTGACTTTTATCATTTCATCGCCACCAGTTCAAGGATGCAAGAAAGAGACCGACCGGTGAGCTTGAGCATGGACAAGGAGCCGCAGGGACTGCCGCCGTCTGTCACCGGCATCAGCGAGGAGCCCAAGGTCGACCCCAAATATTTTGGTGAAGGTATGATGGCCCTCACATGTCCTTGGCTCAAGCTCGAGCTTGGGTCGCTTATCGAGTGTCGATGTGACATCAACGCAGTTATTTCCTTCTACTTCAACGGAACTGCACTCTGCTTCGTCAACACGAAGAGGCGCGACTGCCCGTTCAAGCTGGCCGGAAAGGGCGATGAGGTTCGTAGTATAGACATGTGTTCCCCCCCCCACACCTGACCGCGTGATCTCTCCGTGCCAATAGGACCTCGCAACGGACTTCCTGGCGTACCACCACGTCATATGGATGGGCGACATCAGCCCCGTGGCTGTGGACTCTACCAAATGGATCGACCTCTTTGTCGACGAGGCCCACGGTAAGTTGTGTGTGTCGTGTGTGTCGTGTGTGTGTCGTGCGTCGTGTGTCGTGCGTCGTGTGTCATGTGTGTTGCCCGATGCATGACTGATCGCGTGCTGTCTCAGGTTCGGTACTTTGGCGCTCGCTGCCCGAGTGCTTCGTGTCGCACGTGCAGGCCCATGTGGCCACGGCTGCCATCGCGCAGGCCGAGGAGGGCAAAAGCAAGAGTGTCGACCGGGACGACGCGTTCAGCTCGTACCGGGAGGGCGGGCTGCCCTCGGGCAAGCAAGCGCATGCGCCCATCGGCGTCAATTTCCAGATTCCGACGCTCGTCTTCCCGCCCGTGGCGGCCAAGCGCAACGTGTCCATCATCCTCACCGACCTGAAGGGCGAGCGGTTGGTGGGCTCCACGGACTTCATGCGGGTCGGACGGCTCGAGCCCTACATTCTCTTCGACGCGCCCTTCATCGAGATCGGTCGCCGAACAAGCGTGCAGAGCGTAAGCTCCCAAGTTCTTAATCGTGTGTCGTGTGTGTGTCGTGTGTCGTGTGTGTCGTGTTCTGCCGACTGATTTCAATGTCATGGAACAGTCCGAATTCCCGGAGTGGCGAGAGATCATCAAGCTGCGTCCCATCTTCACCGATATTGGCTTCCTCCGTCAGCAGCACCTGCGTATGCTGGTCATGGACAAAGACACCTACACGATGGTACGCTATACCCGATTTCTCAGCTGAACGTTGTGGTTGTTGCACATCACGCCAGCGCTGGAAGTGGAGAAGGAGGACAGCCTCAAGAAATAGGCCGTTTTCTGATACACACTTCCTAGATTTCATTTCTTTTCGTTTCTTTGTTTTATTTGTTGTGTTGCTGTCGTTTTAACCTCGCCGAGGAATAGGACGGCGTGGTTGGCCTCGCTGTGATCTCCTTGAAGCGTGCCTGTGGCGACCAGCCGATGGAGTTCTCCACTGTAATTACCATGCAGGTAAGACACACCACACACACACACATCCTACTCAGTTGCCGTACCCGATGCTGATGCAATCTGACGCAGGACAAGCCCATGGGCCACCTGACGGGGAAGATTCACATCGTGCTCTCGTCGGTCATGTCGCCCAAAGCCGACCGCACCCGCTCGCTCGCTCGCCAGGGCTCCCACGCGACGTCGTCGAGTTCGATGTCCCTCGCCGCGCCCTCGCCGCTGTCGTCGCCCGTCACCCCGCCCCTGCCTGCGCGACCCCACGCGTCGGCCTCGCCGCGCCAGCCGCCCGCCTTCCCGACCAAGCCGCTCCCGCCCCACCCCGGGAGCTACGGCGGCGACAACAGCAGCCCGCTGTCCTCCCCACACAGCTCTGGCGCCCCGCCGCTCCCGCCCAAGACCGACGACCACGGCTACCCGACGTCGCCGCTGCCGCAGCCGCCCGTGGCCTCCTCGTTCTTGTCGTCGGCGCTCGACACCACGTCGCACATCACCACGTCGCTGTCGTCGACCTTCACGTCGGCCATCGACTCCACCAAGCAGGGCATTCCCTCGCTCATGGGCTGGTTCGGCGGTGGCGCCGGCGCAGCGCACACCTCACCGATGGACCACCATAACCAGGAGGTTCAGTTCGACCCGCGAGGAGCCAGGTCCGATCGACCGCAGTCGCCCGTCGGCCCGCAACACCACCACTCGGCACCTTCAATGGCCTCGTCGACGGCTTCGGGTTCGTCGTCATCAGCTTTCGAGCCGTCGCTGATTCACTTTGGAGACGACTCGGCGTCAGCGACGGCGTCGTCCCACCAGCAGCAAGCACAGACAAAGAGGAGGACCGAGACCGTCGACGATCTCCTCTCGTAGAGCAGATGATCACACAACACCGCATCATACACCACTTCTAATTTTGTTCAACCTCTGCCGCTCTTCGCGATACACACTGGTTCATGAAGGCGATCACGAAGACCACCAGTCGAGGGCGGACCCCTGGTAGTTGGCCACGCGCGTGAATCCCTTCTGTCGCAGGAAGTTGCAGGCCATCTCGCTCCGCATGCCGCTCTTGCAGTAGCACACGACCTCTTCCGTGGGCTGCGGCTTGGGGAAGTCGTAGGTGTCCTCCCATTGATCTTCGCTCATCTCAAGCGCCCCAGGCAGCTCTTGCACTGCCATCTAAATTAGACGTCTGATTTTCATGGTGGACCGAAGGTGAAGGTCGTACGCGGAATGAGGCGAGCGCGAGGATGAATTGCTGGAAGAGACTCGAGTTCGTAGGCCTGTCGAACGTCGAGGAGATGGAACCCGTCAGGATTTGTTGCCAACTTGAGCTGCAATTCCTCCTTGGAGATGATCCCAGGCACAGAAGAGGACCATCTTCGATGCGTCCCACACTGCTGATGCGCCAAAGGCACCACTCCGCCCCTGCTGCTTTGCCGCACGCTTGCTGAGCCGATCCTTCTCATCTCGATTCTAAAAAAGTTTACCAGGAATTAATCGGCACAATAAACAAGGAAGCAGAGGATGGAAGGGCAGCGGAGGGTGTACAAGTGCCGCAAGTGCGGCCAACCGAAGAAGGGCCACGTGTGCACCTACGACGAAAGCACGTCTTCAGTGGCGGAGGCGGAGCCACCATCGACAAAGGCGAAAGCACATAAATCAAATCTGCTGCAGGAAAATCCACAAGAGGAGGACAAGGACTTGCCCCTCTACTTTGTCGTGCTGGACCTGGAGGCCACTTGCGACGAAGACTGGAACCGCAACTTCTACCCCCAGGTACGTAGCGCCACCTCGCTTGCCTGTACCACCGACGTCTGCACCCTGACCACATCATCGCCACGCGCAGGAGATCATCGAGTTCTCGGCAGTGCTGTGGAGCACGGCCACGCACGAAGTGGAGGACACGTTCCAGGTGTACGTCAAGCCCTTGGTGCACCCCGTGCTCACGCCCTTCTGCCACCACCTCACCGGCATCCACCAAGAGTGGGTCGACAACGGTACGTGCACGGTCTGGATACCACATCACCTGCGCCACAGTGTACACACGCGTCTCCTCTGACATCAAGGACCATACATGTAGGCGCCTCGCTGCAGGAGTGTCTGCAGATGTTCCACGAGTGGCTCGAGCGACACGACCTGCTGCTGGCGCCACGCCCCACCAGCACGATGCCGGCCTCCACTTCAATAACGACTACTTCCTCGGCCTTCTGGCTGGCGACGTGGAGCGACTGGGACCTGGGCACCATGCTCGAAGCCCAGTGCATCCGCACGTGCCTGGACAAGGAGCCCTACTTCAACCAATGGGTCGACCTGAAGCAGCTCTACATGCGCTACTACTCCAAGAAGTTCAGGTCCGTTCTCTTTCTCCCTCTACACTGTGCCGTGTGTGCCGTGTGTGCCGTGTGTGCCGTGTGTGCCGTGTGTGCCGTGTGTGCCGTGTGTGCCGTGCGGCTGAGGCAAAACAACGCCGCAGAGTGAAGCTGTCGGAGGCGGTGGCCAGCCTGGGGCTCGGCTGGGAGGGGGCGGAGCACTGTGCGCTGGACGACTGTCGCAACACGAGCCGACTACTGGGCAAGATCATCGAACATGGCCACCCCGTCTACCTCACCTCTGCCCTCCCACACGCGCCCTGACTCAGCACCAACCCGGCTTGAGGCTTGTCATTCACGTGTAGGTATGTATGTACAAGGTCTTGTCTATTTCACAAAAGAACATGGTGACTGACGACAACTGTTCACAACACAATCAATAGAAAAAGGGAGTGAGGTGAGGTGGAGCAGACCATCACCATCATCAGAAGAGATGGCACTGCTTTTTGATGATGATGCTGCTGCCTCGGCCTTTCTTTTTCTTCTTGCCGGCGGCGCCGTCGGCGTCGGCTTCGGCGTCGGCCTGGGCCTTACTTCGCTTGCGGATGGCGCGCGTGAGCTCGAGGAAGGTCTCCTCCACGTTGATCATCTCCTTGGCGCTCGCCTCGAAGAACAGACAATCGAGGCTGGTGGCGAGCTGCTGGCCCTCCTCGGTGGAGACCTCGCGCTGGCCCTCGCGCTCGAGGTCCACCTTGTTGCCCACGATGGCCATCGGCGGCGCCTCGGCCTTGTCCACGTCGATCGTCTTCAGCACCAGGTCGTGCAGCACCTTGACGTAGTGAAACGCGTCCTTCTTGTCAATGCTGTACATGAGGACGAACCCTTCGCCCTGCCGGATCCACTGTGCTCGCATGGCTGCGGTTTGAGCGTGAGTGGAGTGTGGTGGAAAAAAACGAAAACGAAAACGAAAACGAAAGAGAAAGAGAAAGAGAAGAGAGCGAAGACGGCAAGGGATCGAGTTGAGGAAGCGAGAGCGTACCGCTGAACTCCTCTTGGCCGGCTGTATCGAGGATGTCAAGTACGGCCACTTCGCCATCAATCATGATTTGTCTCCTATAACTGTTCTCAATCGTCGGATCTGAAGATTGCCACACGATGTGAGATGAAAGATTGGGGGGGGGGCGATGCAGGGAGTTATGGTAAAGAGCTCTATCCTATTCTGATTTTGACGCACCGTAATACTCGACAAAGTGATTGGAGCACAGACGGATGGTGACCGCAGTCTTGCCCACCCCTCCCGTGCCCAGAACAGTAATCTTGTACAGGGACATGTCTCTGTTCCTCCTCCGAGTTCTTCTCTGTCGCTTGCTTTGGTGTTCTTGTTGTGAGCCTGCGATCGCTCCTTCCGCACCGCCATTGGCGCAAACTAACAAAAGCGCCACATAACAATCATTCCTCGCCACAGTTGTTTATAATTTTCGCTGATCCTGGCGAGAAGTTTCGCTTGTTCAACTCTCGGCACCAATATGCGCCACACATGTAGCGCGGCATGTTACCACTCCCACTACTTTGCTCCCCCGTTGCCGGTTCAGTGACCCGGCGCCACAATGTAACCCAATGATCCTGCGCTCCAGGAAAAACTAGGTACCTCGGCGTACCCCGCCACGAACCGTTCTGTCTTTGTTCTTCTTCTCGCAACTCACTCCAACAAGCAAGGGCGAAAGATGGAAGCCGCGCTGCACCTGTCCGCCCTGCTGCCCTTCCTGCAGGGCAGACACGTCATCGACCACTCCCATCACGACCGCGACCACGACGACGACGAGGCGTTCCTCTCCTCGGACCCGGCCTCTTCTTGGCCCCGGACCTCCCCGCTCAAGCGCCAGAGAGACGCCGAACCGGACCACCACCACGTCGGCCGACAGGCGCAATGGAAAAGAGCGAAGAGGGAAAACGAACACGACATCGTCATCATCGACAACGACAACAAACAGGAGTTGCCCAGCTGCACCGAACCCGCTTCTTCTTATTCTTCGCCGCAGCGAAGGCGCGGGAGTGCCACGGAGGAGATCATCTGTGCGGAAGAACGCGAAGAGCGACAGTCGCATAATTTGTTGCAGGAGGCGCGAAATAGGTCAAACCTTGATCGCCCTTATCAACCCCATCTTTACCATCGGCCTCACCTTCCCCGACACAGCGGTGACGCAGTGCACCCGCCCCCTTGTCCCCTCCACTCGCACATACTCGCCCATCCGCCACCACCGGCACCAACCCCGGCCGGCCATTACCGCCGCACACCACAGTCGCCGCACGCGGTTAACCGCCGAAGCGGAGCGGCCCCGACACGCCGGCGTCCGTCATCGTTGGTCTATATGCCCCGCGAGTTCTTCCCGCCACCCCCACCATCGCCCCCATCACCGACACACCATGCCTTCCCGAGCCACCATCACCATCTCTACCACGACCGGCACCATCATCACAACTCTCATCATTTTCCGCCTGATTATCAACATCAACATCAACATCACGTCGGAGCGCCGTACTACTACAACTACCACCACTACAACCCACACAGCCAGCTGCCCTCGTCGCCAGAGGCTCTGGTCGAGCGGTCGCCGGCCTCTTCGCCCCCACCTCCACCCCAGCCGCATCATCTCTCCCCCAGATCCTGTTCACATACCAACTTGTAAAGAAGAAACACACTGTGTGCATTCCAAGCATTCCACGTACACGCACGCGCACACGCACGCGCGCGGGACTAGTCACCTAGGTGGCTGGTGGTGGGGCCGTGGCGCCGTCGAGTGGTCGGCTGGCCGCGGAGGGGAGAAGGGCCGCGAGCTGCATGTTGGCCGGGCTCCAGGCAAAGTCGGCGGCGGTGCCCTGGCGTATGGTGTTCCACAGAAAGGGCGCGAAGAAGTGGTGCGCGTTCTCCTCCTCCTCGTAGGTGAACTGCAGCGGGTACTCGCGCGACTGCCACGTCAGCGACCCGCGCTGGATGACCTCCAGGATGGCCTCCGTGGTATACTCCGTGATCTCGGCCTGCGTCAGGAGGAACTCAAAGTGGTGCAACACCGCCTGCGCCGCACACGCGTAAGTATTGTGTGTGTGTGTGTGCGTGCGTGCGTGCGTGCGTGCGTGCGTGTTGGTACCTGAATGTTGTGCAGCAAGTGTGAGAAGCGGGGGTGCTGCGCGTAGGGAGGGAAGAGGGCCTTGTCGTGGAGCAGCGCGTAGGAGAGCTGCGGGTTCGCTCGGAGCGCGTTGGTCAGGCACGAGTTGAGGATCTCCAGCACCACCTCCAGGCACGACTCCGCATTCGCCAGCGCCAGCTTTGCACGTGCGGTGTCGAGGTCAGGTCGGCACCGCTTCAAAGCCTTCAGGCTGAATGGGGGAAGACTTCGCACCTTGACCTCATTGTCAGCCACCGGCAGCATGAGAAACGATGATGAACGCGTCAACGCCGCCGGCCTTTGTTGTGTGGCAGTCGAGGAGTCCTCATCTTGAATTGCGAGACAACCTTTAGATCGCACGCACGCACGCACACGCACGCACGCACACGCACGCACGCACACAAAGCTCATACCTTTGTTGATGCGGCGTAGGAGGGAGCTGTGCCGTCGCGAGTACATCTCGAAAAGCTTGATGAGGCGGTGAGCCGCGTACGGGTGCAGGTTGTCCAGGTACATGGACATGTTGCCCAACGCCGCCAGACAGTGAACCGGCAAGTACGAGTCCTGTGGTGCGTGTGCGTGTGCGTGCGTGTGCGGTGGTGCGTGCGCGATCAGCCGCGGCGAGCAGTGAATGATATGAGTCCTCCGGGGAGTGCGTACGCGAAGCTTGGAAAGGGTGACGTGCACGGTTCGCACGAGGACCACCACGAGGAGGCTGCCCAGCGAGATGTCGCGCATGTAGCGCTCCTTGTACCACGTCACCTCCCCCAACATCTGCAAGCGCCCACGCGCGCTGCTCCTGCGTCTGGTCCTCCAGCCCGTACAGGGCCTCCATGAGGGGCAGTAGCTGCGCCGCACACACACGCACACACGCACACACGCACACATTACAGCGTAACGGTCAGCTCAAGCGGGTCAGCTGCGGGTGCGGTGTTTATAAACGAGTCATAGTGGGGCCGTACGAGAGCGTCGACGTCGGATCGAGCGAGAAGATAGGAGAGAAACTGTTTGTTCGTATGTATCAGCATGTACAATAACATTATAGAAGAATCATCCTGTTCGTATGTTGCGTGTGCGTGTGCGTGTGCGTGTGCGTGTGCGTGTGCGTGTGCGTGTGCGTGTGCGTGTGCGTGTGCGTGTGCGTGTGCGTGTCGATTTAGTAAACTGAGAATGAGAGGACAGAAGAGGGGGAAATGGAGGGCTCGTACGCTGAGGTCGAGAGGAAGAGCGTCAAAAAGTTGGCTGTATGACAGACAAAAATGGTCGTCCTCCGAACACTCATCAGACGACGCGCGGTCGCGCGGCTCCTCGCCTTCTCCCTCCGCACCGCTTTCATCTGACCCGCCAGAAGCGGTGAGCTGCCAGAGAGCAAGCGGCGGGCGGCGGGCGGGAATGAATGGGGAGCGAACGTACAGTAGAGGTCGCGGAATGTGGCGAGCTGGTTTCGGAAGGGGTTGGTGTGGAGGGTGGGGAAGGAGGACGGAGTGGTGTGGATCGCGAGCCCCAGCAGCACGAACAGCGACAGTTGGCTCAGTGATCGCGTGGCCGCTGGTGTGGTGTCGTACGTGTGTCGTGTGTGCGTGTTGTGTGTTCAGAGTGTGCATGTGTGTGTCGTGTGGTGTGTGTCGTGTGTCGTGTTCAGAGTGTGCATGTGTGCGTGTGGTGTGTGCAAGTGTGTGTTCATTCGTCGCACCCAGCTGCCGTAGATTGGGCCAAAGGTACGTACCTTGGCCGGCGGTTGTTGTGCTGATGGAGTCACTCGATTGGCTGCTAAATAAAGAGGGCCAGCCCCACCGTGACAACAGGCCAGCTGCACGCAAGTACGCGAACGAGTCCCGTGCAATTGAGCGCTTGAATAATAATAAAATAATAACAATTTGAATAACAATAATAATAAGAATAAGAAGAATAATAAAATAAGAATAATAATAGGGATGTGGTGCGTGGAGTACATGAGGCTGATGTGGTGGCGAGGGTGGAGAGTCGTGGAGAGAGAAGGGCGGCAGACGCGGGAGCGGCCGGTGCCGGCTGGGGCGCGCTGATGTAGTTCAGGAGCATGGCACGCGCGAATCTGTTGGCCCGTCGATACCGTAGACAGGCGTCGAGGAACGGATGGTCCTCCTCCGTTGCTGCTGTAGAGCAGGGGAACAAGTGTTCAGCAACAACATGTGTTCTTTCTATTCGACAGCATTGACATCGGGCCATGAAGGGAATGCATGTGTGTGTGTGCGCGCGCGCGCGCGCACCTGTGGTGAAGGACCGATACAGTCTCGTGGACATCAGCACCAAAAGCAGCTCTAGCGACTCCTTGTAGGTATCAAAGATGTCGGGTCTATGTAGATAGCAAAGAAGTAGAAAACGCAAGAGGAGGTCATGAGGTGTTGATCAATGTCATGTTGAAGGAATGGGGGGGGGAGTGAGTCGCACCCCACTGGCTGCTGTGAGCAGTAGTCCATCAAGGCATGCACCAATAGAGCCGCTGTCTCCGCTTGGGCTGTGCCTGCAGTCCCTCAATTCGTGAATAAACTGTTGCTTTTCGCGCTGCGCGCATTGCACACGACACGACACGACACGACACGACACGACACGACACGACACGACACGACACGACACGACACGACACGACACGACACGACACGACACACACAATACAGCACGACACGCAACACGACCAACGATGAGAGGGGACAGCACGATGCACGTACCACGCTCAGCATCACTCTGAAGCTGTTCAAGCAATTGCCGGGCGTCGGTGGTTTCGATGAGGTGCTTGATGAACACCCGCACGAGGTAGAGAGCGTTGAGGAGCGTCGTCGGGTCTTCCTCCACCGGTGGCGGCGGGCCATCCGCAGCAGCCGCCGCCGTGGTCTCCGAGGTACCGCCACCGCCACCCGGTCCGGGCTCCTGTTGAAGCTGAAGCTTGCCCAGGAGTCGCACCGCATACCGGACCAACCGATGAAGGTTCTTCGTCTTGGCGTTGTTCTCTGCTGTGGGTACGAAAACAATACATTATTTTAGATTTAAAATTAAGTATGATTAAAACCCAATCTTCCATCAAGGGGGGAGAAGGGCAGTGAAGTACTCATGCGGAGGCACAGCGCGTGGGTGGCCTGTTCGACGTCGCTCTGGCGCAAGTGTGGTTTGGGGGGCAGCTGATGAATCGTGCGAAAAAGCCGCTGCCACGCCTCTTCGCCGGCTTTGCCATCGCCGGCAAACTCGACATCGCTTGTGAGCAGCTCGAGCTCTTGCTCCAGGGCGGCAACCGCCGTCGAAGCACTCGCACCCATCAACTCTTGTGCGCCACGCAATGCAAATGAGAAAAAAGGAAATAGGCTCGGAAAACAACTGAGAAAATGGCAGAATTCCCCGTTAGCAGCTACACGGGCCGCAACATGGTCGCCGGTGCAGGAGCCGGCTTGCTAGTCCTCGCCATAGGGGTTGGTCTTGAGGAAGTCGGCGTAGATCTCGGGCGCCTCGACACTGAGCTTCCCGCCAACTTTGGGGAGATGTACGGTTTCCAGCGCAGAAGGATTGTCCTGTCACACACACAAACACTGTCTCATGTTAACTACAAGGATGAGCCCAGATGCCCAATGGAGCACGGACCTTGTGCTGCTCGAGGGCTTCCACGTAGGCCTGCACGCTTCCAATAAAGCTGGGCGAGATCAGGTGCGAGGTCTGGCACTCATTATCGATCTGCACGATCATCCTGCCAATTCACCAACCACATCAATCACACATATCACACATTAAGGGCGAGACAGCACAACAACCAGTCAGACACACCGGGGCCTGGGCCACCACCCATACCCCGATGAAAGGTCCAATGCGTTGTAGCAGAAATCATAGTCGATGGGACAGATCGGGATCCATCTCATTCTGGTATTGAGAGCGTGAGACGTGATATTACACTGCAGCAATCAAAGGAGTACTGGTGTGTCGCGTACCTGCGGAACAAGTGTGGGAAGAACTCACTGTAGTGGAACTCCTCGTCGATTTCGGCAAGGCTTGCGCAGTTGATGAATCGGATCATGCCCGGGGCCTCACGCGGTACCCCATTGCTCCACTTGAAGAACGCCTCCAGTTCTAGAGCGTGACATGTCCACGTCAGCAGACCAAAGATTCTGGTCCGTCTATTAAAACAATACAACAGGAAACAAAGGGAAGAGGTGCGGTGACCTGGAGGGAACCAGAGGCAAAACTTCTTTTTGACGGCGCTCAGCTCTTCGTCGGTAGCGGGCGTGAGCTTGGCCTTCAGGTCGGGCAGGCACGCCTCGATCCGCTCCAACAGACGCTCCATCTTAACTCTCGTGTCCACCTGCAGGGCCATTCGCCGAACGTTGTGCGTGTGGTGAGCATCAGACCACCTTCCGATCCCACAGCGACCGCGCACCTTTTCGATGGCCTTAACCACCTCATCAGGCAGCTCTGCGTTGTTGTGGTAGTCGACTTCTTCATCGACGATGATCTGGGCACACAGAGCAACGAGAGCGGCCGGCTGCACGCGGAGGCACGCCGAGTGCTGGAACAGTGACGCCAGTGCCGGATCGCCCTGGATGCCAACCCTCACCGATCGCGGTGTTGCACTACATTCATCAACATATTGTACCATGAGAGAGAGAGAGAGAGAAGTGTAGTGAATCCATCAACGCTCACCCGTGCGCTCAACGCGAGGTTCGTTCTTGCGAGCACGCACCAATCGGGTTCCAGGCCTTGGGCTTTCTGGGCGACCCGGGAACCGACCAACAGCAGAGCCTGCGCCGAGTTGAGCGCAGCCTCCCTGTGCCCGCTCTCATCGCCCGGCGCAGCCTCCTTCCCCGCCCGCAGCACTGCCCTCCAATCAGCACCACAGGAAAATAAAAATATTAAACAATATAGGAAAAATAAAATATAAACATGGATAAATATGTGTCGAAATAAAACTAGCAATATCCTTTAGGTACCCGAGAGAATGGTATCGACAAGGGCTTGGGGGTGCCCGGTGGGTCCGGGTTCGCGCCCCTCCTTCTCGGGCTCGACGTGGTGCTGGAGGAAGAGGTCGCGCCACCTCTGCTCGGCGACCACCCCGTCCAAGTGGCCGGTCGTGTGATGCCGCTTCTTGTCGTTGTGCTGCGTCTCGTCAGCGCTGGAGGGGGCGGCGGGAGGAGGGAGGAGAGCCACGCGCAGGAGCTCGTCCAAGAGACTCCACACGAGGGTCATGCCCTCCCGGTCCAGCACAGACACACCGCGAACGCTCTTCGGAAACGCTGCCACCAGCACCTCGCGCAACTCCCCCGAGAGCTGCATCTTTGCTGTTGGTGGTGGTGGTGATAAGAAGAGCTCAACTAAGATTCATTGGCCGGCTTCCGTCTTGTCGACCATTTTTTCAGGCCACGGGGCTGGGCGAAAACACCCCATTGCAGCTCGTGCTATTGAGCCTAGAGCTTGTTGATGACGAAGGCGGCCCGCTCGATGACGCCGGCCTCGAAGGGCTTGTTCTTGAGGACTTCGTTGGGGCCATAGAAACCCTTGCGGATGCTGGTCAGGGCGTACACCACGGTGCGTGGGCCAAGGAACGTCGCAGGGTCGCTCACGCTGTTACACCCGACCTTGAATCGACACACCACCGCCACACACACAATCGACGTCAGCCGTGATAGCTTACAGCACCGTCGCATCGAATGTCAGCGCACCTGAGAGTAGTCGCCCATGATGATGCCAAGCTTGGCGGTGCCGGCGTTGACCTTCTTGTGCTGCTGTCGAGAAGGAAGAGAATCACTGGACTCGTGGGTGGTGGTCACAGGCACGAGGAGTGTGAGGGGTGTGAACTGGGCTTCCTCCTTCATGCCCTCGTAGATGCCCAAGTTGGCGCTGATCACATACAGATAGGAGTTAAACAAAACACCAATAGGCTTTAGGTCCGATGGGATGGAACACTGCCGCACCTCGTCGCGCCATTGCCAAAGTGGCTGCGGAAGCCCTGTGCAGAGGCCCCTAAGGTGAGTACAAGTGATGTGGTAAGTGGATGCAGAATGCCGATAGGTACGCAGATCGAGTCTCCGACGTAGGACTGGTGCGGGAAGGAGGCCTCGTCCATGAGTACGCTCGACTTGATCTCCCCGCCCACCACCACGCGATCGCCGAAGATGCAGTTGCCCCGAATCCGCGCGCCCGTTCGCACAACGCAGTTCTTGCCCATGATCGTCGGTCCGCACACCGACGCAAACGGGTCCACCACCGTGTCCTCTCCGATGTATACATCACCTGATTGGTGTATGTCATGCAACGAGCAACGCCACCGTCAGCAAGACATCAACACATCATCAGCATCAAACAACGAGGAGGTCGCTTACCTTGGCTGAGGTCGATGTGGCAGCCAAGCAGCCGCGCACCGGCTCCCACGTAGAGCCGACCACCAGGCCGACCGCATATGCTGCTGGGCTTCACCGTCACCGCCGTCGAGGCGACTGAGCCATCGCCACCAGCAGCAGCAGGGGCGGTCAAGACCACCAGAACGGCGTGACCGTTCCATCGTCACCACGGCGGCCGCTGGTGTTGTATCCAGGCATCGACGCAGGTGCTCGCCATCGACGTGCCATCGCTTGCCATCGATGGCACGGCCGCTCGCAACGATGCGGGCCACGGTGGTGTGGTTGTGCTGCGGGGAGGAGGCGAGGGTGGTGAACCAGTGGGTGAGGTAGGCCGGCAGACGCTGCAGGGCCTCGTGCACTGGACGGCTGTGGTCGAACAGGCCCGCATGAGCAAAGGGGTGGGACGCAAAGTCGAAGTAGAACCCCACCCTCAACCGAACTTCCACGCCTTCGTCGGTCCTCTGTCGTGCCATCTTTTGTTTGTTGTTTTTTTTTGTTATTTTTGTATATTGGAAATTTCACAGCAGAGAAAAATGCAGGAATATTCGAGCAGGAAAATAAACATAAAAGCCTTGCTTGCCTTGACTCGGTTGATTGAAACCGCCCGAGGGAGCATGAAGACGCTGTTGCCGCCACCGCCTCGGTTGCAGGCGCCGCCCCTCGCTACGTCTTCTCGACCACAGATTGTACGCACCGTCTCTTTCCCTCCTCCGCCCCCGCTCATCTCCGCTCCGCCGGCATCTTCATCGTCTGCACCTCCCTCCACCGCCTCTGCCGCCAGTAGTCGGCGCATAGTTTTTCCTCCTGCCCCGCCCCACATCAACCCCGCCTCATCTCCTGCCGCGACTGCTACCGCCTCATCTTCGCGGGCCGTGGCTCGGCCGCCTCTCCCCGTGGCGAGCACGAGTACTACTAGTCCCCTCCCAGCAGGCCCTTCTTGCCCTCCTCCGCGAACTGCGTGGCCACCGCCACCACCGCGCCTCTCGCCTGCCGGAGTGCCGCCGGCAACCACCGCCACCACCAGCGCCGCGAGGAATGGAGGAGCCAGCCCGACATCAACAACCACTACAACGACCAGCACGACCACCTTAACGCCAACACCACCTGGCGGAGGAGGAGGACAGCCACGACCAGCGTGGCCACCTGCGCCACCGCGACTCACCACCGCTGGCACGGCCTCAGGGACGCGCGCACCTGCGCCAAGTCCAAGTAGACCATCCACCACCTCGACGACGGCGACGACGGCCAGAGCGTCACGCGCCGCTAGCCAGGCGGCCGCATCGCGTAATAGTGCGTCGACGAAGACGACGGCTCCAACTCCAACACCAACACCAACGCGCCTGACAGCGTGGCCGCCAGCGCCGCCGCGCCTGACCTCTGCGAGTGCGGCATCACCGCCGGCGGCGGCAACAGGGACCACAACCATGTCAGCGTCAAGGGCGAGCAGCAGCGAGGTGGCGGTGGTGGTGGAGCAGCGGGCACAACGAGCGGCACCGTGGCCGCCAGCGCCGCCGCGCTTGTCCCAGGCACCGGCGCCTTCGTCGCCAGCGGTCGATAGAGAGAAGAGCCCGCCGGCCTGGCCACCGGCACCGCCCCGCCTTCGGGCCGAAAGCGACGCCCAGCGGGCAGCCACCACCACCCCGCCGGTGCCTGAGCGGGGAGGAGTGGCCTGGCCACCAGCGCCACCGCGCCTGTCGACAGCGGAGAGGACCGACGACACCCTAAAGCCGGCACCGGGGGACGTGAACGGCGAGCCGGCTCAGCAGACCAAGAGGTCCACAGCGTGGCCTCCGCCGCCGCCGCGCATCCAAGGGAGCGAGGCGTTGGCACCACCCGCGGCGGCGGCGCGCAGCACAACCGAGAGAGTGACGGGTGTGCGTAGATTGCATTGGAGCCCACCGGCACCACCGCGCCTTCCCACTTCGCCCACACCACCTTCCGCCGCTCCAGCGCCTCCTCCGCAGCAGCGAGGCCGCGTTTCCTCGCCGTATGTCGGCCTTTTGCTTCCACGACCGCCACCGCTTCCGACCAGCACTGCGCCAGCGTCCGACAGCAGCACGGCAGCCACGGCCACTCCGGCGGCTGTCAAGCCATCATCGACATGGCCGCCGCCTCCGCCTCGAATCCAAGTCGACGTCATGTCTCAGCCTCGAGCGGTGGACGCCGCGGTGAAGAAGGCGTGGCCGCCGCGGCCAACCCTGCTTCACAATATCGACGCGACCACCGGCACCGCCGCCACTGAGCCTTCACCGACCTCGGCTGAGGTGCAGGTCTCGGCCTCAGCCGAAAAGCCGACGTGGCCGCCTCGACCTCCGCGCCTGCCAGCCGCGGGGTCACCAGTCGCTCCACCCGCCTCATCGGTCGCCGGATCGCCGGCTCCGCCGCCTGGCCAGCTGCAACACGATGCCATGGAGATCGGCGACGATCACGACCACGACCACGACCAGCTGTCCGGGCTGCCGGCCTACGAGCGCAAACGACTACGCAACAAGAGCAAGCGGGAGGCCAAGCGCAAACGCGAGGCCGAGCGCAAGGAGCGCGAGCGGCACGCCCGGTCCGAGGCCAAGCGACAGAAGAGCCAGCAGGAGCGTGCCCAGAGAAAGCGCGAGCGAATGCAGGCCGAGGCCGAGACGCGGCAGCAGATCGAGGCCGAAGCCGAGCGTCAGCGCATCGAAGAGGCCGAGCGCCTGCGCGCCGATGAGGAGCGCGCGCGGCCGCTTCTAAGACTCGTACACGCCCTCGACTCCGGCGACGACATCAGCGGCGGACTCCTGCCAACCCCCACGGCGACGGCGCCCAAGCGCAAGCTGGACCAAATGGCCGGTGGCGACGGCGGCAACGGCGGAGAAGGCGAAGAACAGCGTAAGCGGCGGCGGCGGCGTTCGGGGTCAAATGCCGGGGGCGGCAGGCGCGAGCAGCAGCGGCGCGAGAGGGAGGAGAAGAGGCAGCGCGACGCGCGCAGACGCGCCGAGAAGCCCAAGGCGGTGTGCAAGTTCTTCCTCAACGGCACCTGCAAGCGGGACGAGTGCGTGTTTTCGCACGACGCCGTGCCCATCAAGAAAACCGAACTCTGTCGCTTCTTCAGGACCGGTACGTTCGTGCGTGCGTGTGCGGTGCGTGCGTGCGTGTGCGGTTGTGCGTGTGCGATGATGATTAATTTTCCTGTGTCGCGTTGTGTCAGGTATGTGCTTGAAGGGCGACGACTGTCTGTTCTCGCACGACCTGAAGGCGGTGCCGTGCAAGTTCTTCTACCTGTACGCCAAGTGCCAGCACACCGACGCCGAGTGCCGATTCTCGCACAGCGTCGGCCGCGAGGAGGCCCTCGCCCACTTTGAGCGGGAGACGGCCGAGAAGGAGGAGGAGGAGCGCAAGCGGCGGGAGAAGGAGGAGGCCGAGGCCCTGGGCATCGTCCTGCCCACCACCACTACGGCCGGCGGCAGCGACGAGCCGAGCTCCGCGGAGGCCATCCTCCCCTTCGGCATCTCGTTCGTGCGCACCGACGACCCAGCCCACGCGGCAGTCGAGGCTGCAGTCGTCGGAGCTGAAGATAAGGATGAGGAGGATGATGAAGGCGATGACTACGAGGGAACGGACTCGAGAGACGAAGAAGATGACGATGACGAAGACGAAGACGAAGAGGAAGTGCTCCTCCCCTTTGGGCTCTCGGCGTCATCGTTCGCGCGACCGACCCACGACAGCGCAGCGAGCGGAGTCGATGAACTCGACGGCTCCTTCCCTGCCTACGCCCCGTGAGCGAGTGCAACGCCGAGTGGGCCAAAATGGGAAGATCCGGCCTTCTGCAGCGCTCTTCCTGTTGGTCCTGGATTGGCCATCCATAAAATCCGCGGACCACTAGGAAACTTTACACCATAACAGTCTGCGCCAGCTTTACTCCGCGTAGGCAAAGAGGAAGATCATGCAAGCAGTAAGGTCTTGGCGTGGAACGGTGGTGGCCATGTTGGTGATGGTGATGGTGCTGGCGTTCCTCTTGACAGCGGCGAGTGCCAACATCGCGGATGGGTGGTACAAAGTCGGCCCTGCGCGGGTGCAGCATCGTGGGCAAGTGGCGTTCGTTCGATACCAGCGAGCATAACATGACCATGACCTTTGTGGCCGATGGGACCTACCTGTCCAACGTCGAGAGCAAGTCCTTCCCGTGTCATGGCCGAAACCGGTGTATGGAGCCAGTGGCCGATCCCATTGTCATTGTTCCGCCGATGGAGACATGCAGTACACGGCCGAATCAATCATGTGCGGCGGCCAGATAAAGGAGAAGATGGAACACGTAAGTAAGATAAGCTCGAATCCCGAGTGGATGGTCTTTTGCTTGCGCTTGCGTGCCTTTGGGCGATGAGTGCCCGATGATGGAAAAAGCAACCCTCAGCTGGATCTAGTTGTACTTAGGTGTGAAAAAGTCGCATACAAAGAGGAAGTTGAAGTTTTCGGCGAAGCCTTGGATGGTGCAGGTGCCCGAGGCGCCACGGAAGGCACCAGCCCCACCTACGACGGCCATGGGCTGAGCTCCGTTCTCCAAGTCAATGAACACGGCCCCGAGTAGCATCACTTGATCAGCCCCGTCGTTGAAGAGTGGACAGTGTTGCACAAGTTGTAAAGAGGGCCGGTGTTGTTGACGGCCGGTGTCCAGGTGCACAGGCCAACGTCGAAGCCAACCACGCGGGACTCGGCCTCGTCCCACAACAGGTTGGCCCCCCGTCTGTGAAAACAAAATCAGGTCCAGGAAGGACAAGAGTTCGTCCACTCATACCGTTCTGGAGAGGCGCGGTGCCATAGAAGAGAGCGTTGGGAGTAAGCACGTCAGTAGTAGAGACCTCAAAAAACCGTGTATTGGTGATGAATCCAGTCCCTGTCCTGTGGCACCTCGCGGTGGCCAGGAGGCCTAGAATCACTAGAGCAAAGAGCACGATGTGAAGCTTCATCTGGGCTGTGGAGTGTCAAGTAAGAACTGGCTTAGCGGAGTTCTTGTTATAAGCTCCCTCCTTAGTATAGGTACGGATACATGGCCGTCAGCTTCTCGAGTCAACCACTCTCATGTATTGCGCTAAAGAATCACGCTCTTCCCTACAACTTGGCAGGTGCGGGCGCGGTGGCGCTAGCAACGTTGGTGGTGGGAGTCCCCCTGGTGCCCCAGCGACTGGAGTGCCAGGACTTGGCGCCCCTCTCGACCGCTTGCTTGGCCTCGTCGATGTGGGTGTGCACAAAGGCGACCGAGAGCGAGCAGTTGTGGCTGAACTTCCACAGGGGCTGGTCGAGGTCGCTCTCGGAGAAGGCGAAGCCGTAGTCGTCAGTCATGCGCGACTGCTGCAGCTCACGCCCGAAGTGGCTCGGTAGCTCGCGCAGGGTGGTCGCCTTGGCCAGAAGCACCCGCCGACGGTCGTTGGTCGCGTAGCCGTGGACAGTCATGAAGACATGTACGCCGTGCTCGCACGTCGCCTCCTCCTCTTGGGACTTCCCCACCCCGGACGACTTTCGCTCGGGGAAGATGGGAGAAGCTTACCGACCACCTCCATACTCAATCTAGTGCGAGCGATTGTGGGTTTGCTGTCGTCATTATTCCTGTTCTACGCAAACCGTAAACATGACTTGGTTGCGCCCTAAGTGAAATAAAACTTAGTAAAAAAATTTACCTTGCCCCCCCCAGCAAGTTCTGCTCCTTGACCACCAAACAACTTAGTATTTCGCCAGCTGATGGAAAGACGCATCCACAAAGGTCGGCAGCTGAAGAAGGTCAATTCTGGGCTGTGGCGGCGTGTGGGTGTTGGGAGCCCCTGATGTGGAAAGCAATTGCAAGCAAGATGGCCAGCCACCCAACTTGGACACAGAGAGAGATTGCACAGAGTCTGGCTGTATCAGCATCACTTGTGAACTGGGTGAAGCAGTGGCTTGCAAAGGGAGAGGAAGGACCACAGCAGCATGGGAAGGGGGAGAAGAGATGATTTCCAGCTGAGAATGTGCAGGTGATGGTACAGCTTCTCAAGGTCGAGGAGTGGGGCCACACCTACACCATTCAAGATGTTCAGCAAGTGTTCAAGGAGGACTTTGGCCAGACCTGGGCGACAAGTACCCTAAATTGACATCTTGGGAAGGAGTACTTGCGCCAGAAAGTGATTTTTGAGGACCCAAGGAAATGGATGATGGCAAACTGCCAACTCATTGAAGATTTCCTATGCTGGCGCATGGAGCAACCAGTGGTGAAGCACTATCAAGTGAAGGTCATCCCAGCATGTCATTTTTGATGCAATGTATTTAAAGATTAATCTGACATTTTATGGTCTAGGTCTTTGATGAGGCGCATGTGGATCATACCCACCTTGGGAATTTGATAATCTGGTCCCAGCAAGGTCAACGCCCCCTTCTAGAGCACTACCACCGCAACATCGTTGTTGAATCCTGGACAATCACTGTCCTCACCATCCTTGACTTGGCATTTCTGCTTGTGTACTTGCTCACCCCCCACTCAAGCAATGGTGAGAAATTTATTTCTTTTTTGGTTGATTGTATCCCTTTTATTTTCTCTGGCGACGTTGTTCTGGGCGACAACTGCTCCTTTCATCAGCGGGGCTGGCCAGTAGCCTCATCTCAGCTATGGGGGGTGAGTACAAGCTCCTCCCTAAGTACTGCCCTGAATTCAGTCCCACTGAGAAAGTTTCAGTTTTTTTAAAGGCACATCTTTGCAATTCATTCAATGTTCAGGACAATTTATTCCTTGCAATTGTGACCATCCTCAATAAAATCACCCTACTGACAATGACTGCATGGTATCAGTTGTGTGGGTGGTTACATTAGTCATCTTCATTGTCCTCATCCTCCCCATCTCCATAACAGTCAATTAGTGCATCAACTGCACCATCACTAAGCTCCTCCTCGCTAGATTCCTCCCTCTCCTCTTCTGCAATTGCATTGCCCTCTTCTTGCAGCTCACTCTGGCGCTTTTTGATGTACACCACCTCCTCCTCAGTTGAGAGATGCTGTGGCATGGCCTTCAGCTCGCTGGTGATTTTTTTGTTGATTGCTCCCTGGACCTTGATGTTGTGGCAGCACCGTGTGTGCTCCTGCGCTACTATGATCATTGCCATGGCCCTCGCCCTTGTTCCTTCCTCAAGACTGTACTTCTCCAGGTCGCTGGCCATGATTTTGGCAAGACAGGGCCACCACCATCCTTCGAATTCTGGCTGCTTGTGCAGGCGAAGGAGATCATCTTTCCTCTTCTTCCACTTGTTCTCCTCCTCTTTCTCCTCCACTCACTTGCGCTTCTTCTTGGCTGATGCTGCCGCCCACTGTTGCTTTTTTTCTTCAGGATGCAAGTTGAGATGAAGACAGGTAGCCTGGGCATTTCTGTTCTGGGGTGCAGTTGTGGCCACAGCCGAGGTACTGATGGCAGTTGCGCTTGCATCACTTCTGTGTTTGTGTGCTGGGGATGGTAATGGAGGGCGCAGGGGACAGTGGGCACTCCAGATGGGATGGTGTGGGCATGCCAGGGGGGGAATGAGGTGGTAGAGGTGGTGGAGAACGGGGGGCTGGTGATTGAGAAAGGGGGAGAGTTGGAGGTGTGGGAGTCTTAGATCTTGAGATGGCCAGCTCCAGGCGACGCCTATCACCAATCTTTGTGATGCCCATTTCGAGGAGATCGTTGGGTGTGATTGTCAGGATCGAGTCAAGGAAGGTGAAGCCATTGCTGATGAGCGTTGGAAGCAAATCATCAACCCTCCATCTTGTCGCCCATGATTGCAGTTCGTCTCGGTCGCTCTCCATGTGAAGTCAACTTGCAGACAAAAACAAAAAGTGCGCCACGTAGCGTTTTGCTATGTTACGACGCAGGTAATAAATCTGAGCTAACAGGAAAAAACGAAAGGCCAAAGACACGTCGTGTTTACAGTTTGCGTAGAACAGGAATATTTATTTTCGGTCTGCCCAAAATGGAGGACCGTAATAAATCTTCGTTTGGCCACAGGAAAGTTAATAAATCGCCCAGCAGTGTTGACCTCTTCTCTTATGAGGACCTCCGAGATTCTTGGCAGTGCGGCCCAGCACGGCTGGATCTAGTCCAAGCCTGAGCGATGACCTCTCTCCAACATGTGTCCCTCGTAGGTGCCTCTTGTGATCAATCTGTCACGTGAAGGTGAGCGGCGGAGCGAATGGCAAATGGTAAAAAGAAGAGTGCGGCCACACACACACACTCACCTGTAGACTTTGACCGCTTGAGTAGGGGCGAACCGCGCCTGGGCTTGAACGTAGCTCTGGTGAGAGCCCCAGTCGCTGTCGAAGATTATCACCGTATCGGCGGCCGGCAAGTTGATGCCCATGCCACTGACTGGTGTGTGGAGTAGCAGGACGTTGCGATCTTCTGATGAGCCCTTCTCACAGAAGCGGCCGACGGCGCCCTGACGGTCGTTCTCGCAGACTCCGCTGTCGATCCGCTCGTAGCCGAACTGGCGGAAGTTGAGGTAGTCCTCCAGAATGTCGAGCATGCGCACCATCTGTGAGAAGATCACCACCTTGTGGCCCTCCGCGATGAGCCTGGGCAGGAGCTGATCGACCAGCACCAGCTTGCCCGAGCTCTCGATGAGCTTCCGGCTGATCGAGTCGGGGTCGGTGAGCCCATCCAGTATCTGCGCCTCGGCCCCGTTGATGAGGTACGGATGCTGTTGGAGTTGGATTAAGGCGCAGCAAATGCGTCAGTCGCACAACAGAGCACCAACCGTTTGCAAAGGGTGAACCTACGTTGCAGCACCTCCTCAGCTGCATCATGGCATTCAACCCGTCAGGAACGTTACCGCCTGAGAAGAGCGACGTGTTCTATGTAATGCGTGGCGAGGTCAGCAGATCTGGTACTACTGGGATGTCAAGGTGTGCGCACACACAGATCAGAGTGGTATCGCAGTACCTGTTCGTAGATGGCCTTGTAGTACTTCTCTTGTATACCGGTAAGTTCCACCTCCAAGATGGTTTCTCCCTGGGTCGGATCGATGCTCTGCTCCACATCACGTTTCATTCGTCGGAGCTAGATGGACGGGACAGGGTGGCGTCAGTTCGGCGGTGGTGGCACGGCGCTTGTGAAACCCAATGCATGAAAATGTTAATGTTATGTTTCACACGGAGGGGTGTGTCTACCAGAAGAGGCCTGAGCAAGCCGTGCAGCGCTTGCATTTGCTCCATCTGTCCCAAGTCATCGAAGTCATTCCTGAAGTCCTCCAAAGATCTAGAGGAACGCGCAGTGGTAGATAAGACACACAGCACACACAGCGGGACGACACGACACGACACACGCAACCAGTCCAGCAGCATCAGCGTGAGATGGTAATCGTTCAAACAAGACATGGCGTGACCATGGAGGGAACGGTACTGGAACTTTTGGGGATCGAGCAAGTTGAGGAGTGACCACAACTCCTCGATGCTGTTTTGCAGCGGCGTGGCGGTCAACAGCAGCACGTCCGAGAAGCCGTAGCTCTGCAGCTCCATCACCAGCTTGCTGTTCTGCACTCGCGGAGGAGTGAGTAACGAAAGAGTAAGTCATGGGTGAAGACACGAGTCACTCCGAGTGCCACTGACTGGCTGGGTGGTGGAAGCGAAGAGGCGCACCTTGTTCTTGATCCGGTGTGCTTCGTCGATGACGGTGTAGCGCCAATCGATGGTTTTCAGGTGTGCACTGTCAGCTATCACCATTTCGTACGAGGTCACCAGCACGTTCCACTTGAACAGGTTGGAAATGGCACGGCCCTGCAGCCCCGAGTTGGCGATGATTGTGGACGTTGTGTCATGGCCAGTGGTCAGTCATCAAGCGACGGAGAGGCGCCCGACCGATCAGAGAAGCCAACGCTGCGCGGAGTGAACTAACTGTGGAGCGCTTCATACCTCGGCGTCCAGGTTGTTCCATTCGTAGCGGCGAATGACCTGGCGTGCTGCCGCTGGTCCCTGGTAGACGAGCACGTTCATATCTGCAACGTAGAGGGAAAGAGTTGAGGCCAGGGGTGAAAAAGTTGGCACGCCGCTTCTATAGGTATACCTGTCCAATTTTCGAACTCACGCTTCCACTGGCTAATGGTGGCTAAGGGCGCGATGACCAAGAAGGGTCCGCGGATCTTCTCCACGGTGAACAGATGCCACATGGCGGCGATGCTCTGCACAGCTTTGCCTGCAAAACGAATGTAAGCTCAAATCTCAAAATCGTGATGCACACTTCACAACGGAAGGAGGATCAGGTTGCGCCACGTACCCAGGCCCATTTCGTCAGCGAGCATGACGTTGCGGTGGTGATACCAATTGTACACGAGCCAGTTAAGGCCCTCCAGCTGGTAGTCCCGGAGTCTGTTGCCGTGTTTGAATCTGGTGGGTTGCAGGGGCTGACGTTAGCACCTGGCCCTTGCGAAGAGAGACATAGCATGGAGCAAAAAGGGTGTGCGCACTCGGGCGACTCAGTATACGGTCGCCATTCCTCGGCAGCGGGACGCTCCAGCGGACCATTCGATGCCGGCGGCAACTGGTTGATGCGCTTGAACTGCGCGACCTTCTCATCATCCTATCGCAACACACGCCACACGCCACACGCCACACGCCACACGCCACACGCCACACGCCACACGCCACACGCACACGCCA